CTCAGATTTCTTCCACTGGGGGTTCTTCAAGGACAACATCTATCAGGGCAACCCTCTTGCCATTGATGCAATGAAGGCGGCCATCACTGGGAAGATTAAAGCGATCACCCAGGAGGAATGTGCACAACAACTTTGCAATCAACAGTGCCTTCAACTGAATGGTGGATATCTAGAGGATGTACTCCTGACATCTTTGGTTTGTTTGAGACTAAATGGTTGCAGATCCTAAAATGTTATCCTTTCAATAAATGTAATTTCCATTGCTCTATTTCTGGCCCTTGATTTGTGCCTGATTATTTTATTTCAAAAATTGTCAAACACCCTGTTTATCAGTATTTGATGTATATATGTATCACATTGGCTGTTACGATCTTGGATGTCTATTTTCGCTACTATCAAATTTCAGATCCTGTTTATGCAACATTACAACTGAATATTGGCTTAATGGATAAAAGCCAACAAAACAGCTTCTATATTGGCGATTTGTCATCATTATTATTTCACACCATTGCTTTTAAAGAAGAAGTATTGATCCACATATTCTCACTGCCCTGTCTTACTGCAAGCCATTTTGAAACTAGTCACTGGTAGATGATGTTACAAATAGAGGAAGACAGAGAATGAAAGCAATGACTGTAAAAGTATTCTTTATATTTATTAGATACTATCAAGTGCCAGTGTACCATATTTTTCAGAATGTCAGAAACACTCTTATTTTGAAGACAAAGTTTGGGGAACAAAAGCTACAGTTGTATTTGAAATTTTTATTTTATTGAAAAAAATTCAATTTACTACTTTAAGAATTAGTATATGTTGTTATCAGGGTCAGTGAAAGGGGACCAATCTATGATATAACCCCCAACCCACCCCACTCTACAACATCTCAATTTTCATAAGGTAGTATTAATATAAAATACAAATTTTATTGTAACCTAATTATGCACAATAATGTATCATATGCAAAATAGGTGAACAATTCAACTAGAAAAATTGAAAATAAATACAATGTATCTAAATACAAATTAGAGACAGGTCATAATAGATCATTCCATCTTAAATAATTCAACAACGTTTTGACCGATCATGGCTCTCAACATCTTCCTGTCTTTTGCTGCTCAAAGTAACTCTTAGTCTTATCCTTTTATCCTCTTTTTGTTCTACCGTCCAGGCCCAGTGCAAGGGTCTCGTATCTGCCACCAAATCTATGATATGGCCCTCTCATTCTATTACATCTCAATTTGTCATAAGGTAGTATTCATATAAAATACGAATTTTATTGTAATCCACCCATCCATATATAAAAGATTTAAATAGACAAACAGGTATATTTAATAGGTATATATGCCTTGTGAAACGGACTCCCACGTGGATGCTTTCCTGATCATTACAATCATTACTGTTCAAGTCAAGGGTTAACTGTTATCTTCCACATATATATCACTTATGTCATATGATAATGAAACATTGGTTCCAGCATGATCACCAGTTAAGCAATAACAAGCCTGGTTAATACCTAGATGGGTAACTCCTTGGGAATACCAGGTGCTGTAAGCTTGGATGTTTGGCTGGTGTAATGGATAATGGCTTGAAACTGGAAATCGAAGAGCAGAGTTCCAATTCCATTTGGGTTCATTATATTCACTTACATGCAAATATCCTCAGGAAAAGTAAAAATCCGGCTCTTCTCTACTCCGGCTATGGATTAATTAGTAAGAGTTTCTGTCATTATCATTATCAGAAAAAGAAAAATTCTTACAATCTAAAAAAATATTTTCTGTCTTTAAATAATCTGCAATGGGTTGATAAACTATAGAAAATGAATGAATTAATGAATCAATTCCACACATATCTGCATAAGCTGGGCTTCTTACTCTGTAACACTCTATCTGGAGTGGCCCTCGGGCTTTGTACAGGGTTAAAATCATTGTAAAAAAATGTAATTTTTACTTTAACTGCATAACAATAAAGTTTTTTTCTTTAAATATATTATATATATATATATATATATATATATATATATATATATATATATATATATATATTATCCTCATGGTAGCATGACTATTGGTGAGGGATAATATGTATATTTATTAATATATACTTAATAGCTCTGTTGTATTGCATCAAGCACTGTTTTATTAACACCAGCACTAATATCCCATGGTTATAATTTATTACATTGGAATTGTAATCACAATCTAATTCATCAGGCCTACAAATTCAAAACGTTTTTATATTCTTACTCTGTCCTGGACATTGAGTTCTACCTGGATTCTATCCTCTGAAATATATATATAATATATATATATATATATATATATATATATATATATATATATATATATATATATATATATATATTACTTATTTAGGATATTAAAAAATGTTAAAATTTGCTACATAATGGCAATTATATTTCAACACTATAAATGTGTCTCCTTGGATGATGTTAAACTACTCACTCGTGCAAAAATAGGCTTGTGGGTATGTCTTGATTATAATCAAGACATACCCACAAGTCTATTTTTAATTTTGACCATATGTCCCCCCAACCATTTAATTTTCGGAAAAGAGGTAACATTTTGTTTTTAAATTTTCTTAGAAATCATTTAATCACCAGTTACTTAGCATCGTCTGAAGAAGTACAATCAAAGTATTGAAACAAGAAAGCTTTTGTGTAGTGATTTCAACATGTTTTTATTATAATCTCTTATAATAATAATAATATACACAATAATATATATATATATATATATATATATATATATATATATATAAATGTATATATATATATGTATATAAATGTATATACATATGTATATATATTGTTTGTATTTAGGCAGCATCTTTTCATTCATACACGTTTCATTAAATAAATAGACAACACTTGTCTATATTATTTAATGAAATGTGTATGAATGTATATATATATATATATATATATATATATTATTAAAGACATTTTTATGTTTAACGTTCTTTTTTATAGATACAAGTATTTAAGTAAATGCTCTGTTTATAATAAACAGTATTAAATAACATTTACCGGCCTGAATGTCCGAGAAATTTTCATAGAAAATATTCGTCGTTTGACAGGATTCGAACCTGCATCCTATACGGAACCGTCATTTACGTTGACGTGTTTTATATATATATATTATATATATATATATATATATGTGTGTGTGTATATGTATATGTATATATATATATATATATATATATATATATATATATATATATGTATGTGTATATATATATATATATATATATATATATATATATATATATATATATATATATATATATATATATATATATATATATATATACACACACATATATATAGTAAATCATAAAAATCAGAATTTACCTATTTCAACAAAAGAAAACTTTGTCAGTCTTATTCAACCCTGTATACCAGGTTGAATAAGACTGAGATTTATTTGCTCTATAATAATAAATACATTGAGCTCTTTTTGTGGATCAGTTTTAATATTTTATATTACTAGGATCCACTTGGATTATATACCAACGGATTTCTTACCTGTACTATAAATATTTTTTTTGTCATATATATAAAATTTTGTCTTTACAGGTATATTTTATTTATATCTGAATTCTTGCACACATATATATACACACATATATTTGAGGTACTTCAATATTTTGAATGGTTAGCAAGCTTGTCTTGCTAGGTCGATTACGACTGAGTAGTACTTTGATCCTCACTGGGTGCTCCATGCTTTTAGCCCTGTGCCACATCTAAGTTATGCTTAGTAAATAAATCATCATATTCAAAGGCACTTTGCTGTGGTGTAATGGTTAGTAAACTTGTCTTGTTGTAGGGAGTTCGATTCTCACTGGGTGCTCCATACTTGCGTCCTTGTGCCAGATCTAAACTGTGTTTAGTAAATCGTTATTCCTACATTCGGTGTATAGAACATAAGCAGATTTTGACATCGTATTCTGTAGTGAAAAAAAAGTGCGTCTTATACACCAAAAAATACGGTACAGTGTAACCCGGATATAAGAGAGTTGTCGGGACCGGATAAGAAGTTTCTTATATCCGGGTTTCTTTTATATCCGGGTTTGGTCTATTTTATATACATTAACACAGGCTAAAATCTCTCTTATATCCGGGTCTCTTATATCCGGGTTACACTGACTTAAAAAATGAATGATAATTGATTGATGATCTCTAGTACAAGATTGATTTCCAAAAAGAAGACGTCCTTTTTTAAATTGTCTTTTTTTTTACTAAGGCTAGTTTTGCTAATTTTTTTTTTTTATCTATGTTTTTTAAACTTAATGTATAGAAACTGAAAGTTTTATTCGACTGAAAAGGAAAAAGAAATGTCGAAACTAAACAAAAACAAAACTAACAGGTTTGCTGTTGGAATTTTGACACTTCTATCAAAATTACGCAATTTTCAACTGAAATTGAAAATGTCCCATTGCAGCATCAGCAGCAACAACAACAAATGTTTGAGTTTAACTAAGATTGTTAAATGTTCATGAAGAAATTATTTGCTTCCCTTTTTTGAAACGTCTCTGAAAAATGAGAAATTATTACAAATTTAAGATCAGTGTTAGGAAATACTTGCTAAATGATTAAATTTTATTATCTTAGGTTGACTAAACGAAAGAATCATTTTAGTAATTCTAAATAAAATAAAAATGAAAAAAAAAACATCTTAATTGGTTGTTTTCAACTTCCCGCTCTTTGACCTTTCCTCTTCAGGGAGAATAAATTATTTGCAAAATGACGGAAGGTTATTGGCACTTGTGAGAAAATAAAAGAAGAAAAACGCTTTTAAAGGTCGCAAAAATGTTTTATCCTGATCAAGCATTCAAATAGAATAATATAGAAACCCCAGATTTTTATAAGATTAAATAAAATACTTGATAAGAACAATTTATCTTATTTTTTGGTAGTTGAGAACGTTGAATTATTTAACTAGTTTGTCAACAATTGACGGTCCCCCAAAGCAACAACAATGGCGGAAGGTGGGGGTGACGATGGAGACGATAATCCATTTTCTTTCAAGAACTTCGTTCATAGCAAGGATAAAAACTCGGCACCGGCGAGAAACAATGAAATGGATAGAAGCACGGAAGAAAATGATATTTTTGCGAGTAATGAAGACATTGTTTTGCCTGAAAACTCGCCTCTCGTAACATCTTCTTCGCAGCCGACAGGGGCATCTGCACTTCAAGCAGGAGGTAGGTAATTCTATTTCAAATACAACAGTATCGGAATAGTGTCAAATAAATAAAAACAAAACCTCTTAGCCTTCTTATTTTAATTTTTGGATGCTTGTTTATTATGATTAGTATATTTTTTTAATTGTTGCTTTGTAGTTCTGGTTAGAAAATTAATTTTACGTATTGCATGGTGAAGTAAACTTTAAGAATTTTATTGCTTTTCCTCGGTATAGACATTTATTTTATTCAGCTTCTATCGACGTTTGTTTAAGCCCCGAAGAAAATAAATATACAATTTTCGTATTTTTTTAAAAATGCATGTATTTTGTTTGAGATGAAAATAAATAGAAAAATGTCATTATGAAAAAATACTTTAAATTATAATAAGAAGATTGAAATTACTTTTCAGTTTACTTTAAATTTTTAAATGTTTTGTTTGCGAAGTTTTATTTTTCAATTTAATTAATTTAAAGATTTAACCTTTTAAATGTTAATTTTTATTTTTAGTCTTTTAGAGATCATGACAGGCGTTAGGTTAAGTAATAATAATAATTTCATCAGAAAATACATCGTATTTAGTTGAATTGAATTCATTTGTCCGGTGTGGTTTCTACACTTTTAATTAAAATAACTATATTATAAATAAAAATGTCTCGTTTCCTATAGTAAATAAAATATAAATATTTCTTTTCCACATGCTTAAGGGAGTTTGAAAAAAAATTATTATTGAAATATCCAACATGACTTTCTTTTTACAACCAAAACAAATCTGCACTTTTCATGAATCAGTTCACTCTCAGTTACTCAATAATTTCGATGTCTACCTTTTTCATTTGGATTAAATTTAAATAAAAATAAAATAAAGTATTGTCCCAGACAGTTTGAGTTAATCAGTTATTTTTAATTTGTTTAACTTGGGACATAAAAAAAAAAAAATCTTTTTTTTTTTTTTTTTTTTAAACAAACACTCAACTAGAAAAATAAATCCGAATGAACCTCTGTTTACTTAAGTTATTGCCTTATTTAATAATAATAACTTTGTTGTGTTTAGTTTATAAGTTGACGAATTTTAAATGAACTTTCTCACAAAAAGAGGGTTATTTATAAAATTTATCAAAGATAATTCGTATCTAAAATAATTGTTTAAATCTGACTACAGATGTGCTAGACAGAAAATTTAAGATAATAATTAATAACTTATTATTTTCTCGAGAAAAATATTACTTTTCTGTTCTAAGTGTAAATTTCAGATCTTGAACAAAGTTTCAGGATCAGAAATATGTGAAAACAGCTGAGAAAAGTAATATTTTTCTCGAGAAAATACTTAGTCTTTTTAAATTTTATAAGCTTTTTTTTTTTTTTTTCTATGAAAAAAAGAAAAGCTTAAAATTTGGAATAATAAATTTTTAAAACTTACACCAAATTTGTAATGTTTTCCTGCGACCTCGAAAAGATGTCTATAATTTTTTGTTTTCTTTCTTTATTGAAAAACTAGTAAATTTTAAAATGACCAAAAACACAAACAAAATAAAACTTAATTTTTATGTGTCTTTGACTTTGGTGCTGTTCGTCTTCCGTAAAGTTTACGGTAAAGTGGGTGTGTTGCGAAGCAGACTTTCCTTTCTCTAGGGTCTTTTATTTTTTTTTTGTGTGTGTATTTTTCATGAAAAAAAGATCATTTTTATCATCATATATATTTTTGCTTCACACATCAACATAAAAAAGGAGGGAAAAAAATCAAGGAAATTAGATTTATTTTAATCGTTTTTTAAACGTATAAAAAGAAAACAAGTTAAAAGAAAAATGGCATTTTAAAAAAATGGGTAATTTTTAACCTCGATTTGTTGAGCAAATATAATTTAACAATTTAATATTTTTTTTAAGTTTACGAAAGCAAACAATAAGTCACGTGGGGATGGCAAAAACAGGACAACTATAAATCTTTTATTTGAACTAAGACAACGATTTGAATCGCGATAATTCGTTTAGATTTATCAGCATTTAAAATCTATTACGTAATCAATAGTGATTAGCGAAGCATCCTCTTAGGAATCTGTTCCACGAAGTAGCAGTTCTCTGGGTGAAAAACTGCCTGAGTGGAATTCTTTTATCAATGTAATACAAAGAGGATGATTCGCATCTGTATGTGCATGGTCCTACTTGTGAAGGTCTGAACTGGTGAAACTAAGGAATGTAACTTGTTTGAACATTTACCATGGAAATAGCAATAGAGTAGTGATAAGCTTGCAATGTTTTGTCTGGGGGGAAAAGTGCTGTAGGGTTGAAAGTAAACTAATTTATCACCCACAAGGCCATATAAACAATTTTCAACTCTATCAAGCCTGGGAAGAGAAGATTGAGCAGCTACATTATAATGGTGGGAAAGTAACTGAAGCCGAAATGCCAGGTCAGGATCAATAACAATTCTTTGGATTTTAACAAGAATCTCTTTAGTATATAGCAGGAGCACAAGACCATATGTGGCAACAATATTCAAAGCATGGACCAACAGTAAACTTATAAATATGTAAGATAGATTCTGGAAAGAGAAAAATATCTAACATAAGACAGAGAACCAACTTTCCCAGTGGCAGACCTAGAAATTGATTCAATATAACGGTGTAACATGATTTTTGTAGCAACTGTTTTCAATTTGATTATGCCTAGAAAGTATGAAAAATGGCTAATATTTCCTTCAAACTTTGCTTTTGTGATCTGGATAATATTATTTCTGAAATTTACCTATCCCCATTGAGAAAACTGGTAAATATGAACATTCTTGTTCATGCAAAGTAGGAACAAAATGATATATGACTCAAAAGTAGCATCTATTTATTCTAGAATTAACACAAGAAAGGCTACAAAAAAAGTGAGTAGCTTTTTGCAAGTTATGCAAATTACTTTCATGAATCAGCCCCCAAATATAGTTTCCCCCATCATGTTTTAACTATATGATCCTTGGTAGTGGCGTTTAAAGTCTAGTGTATTCCTGGTGGAAGTATTCACCTTGCTCCTTTGAATTTGCCCTTATGTTTTTCTTGAGTTTATCAAGATGAGCATCAAGGATATAGACTTTGAGGGACATCCTCAGCCCATTTTGCTGTAGTTCTCATCTTGTGTCTCAACAAACCCCACAGTTTTTGGCCTTGTGATTCCCCGGGTAGCCCCAAACCACTGCAAAAAAGCTGTTCTATGCTGCTTTCTCCGTCTTAGTGAGCTTCTTGGGGATTTCCTTGCACTCTATGATCTTTGTTATTTGTGATCTGACAAAAACACCAGCTTTGGCTTTTGCTTAGGGAAGAAGTCTTGAAGTCTCCTTATCTAGAATTGTCAAATTGTTTCAAAGGGCCCAATTTTAAGTGCAGTGGAAGCCACAATACTTTCCAGAGGTCCAACAGTTGCTACCATTTGATGTTGTTCCTCCCCACACTGAACACAGTCTGCTGTGGCCAGTCCTGCCTTTTGTTGTGTGCTACAGTGTACCTACTGTTCCCGAGGCAAAGATAACGTGAAAACCTAGTAAAGCCACCTTGGAGACCCATCGGCAAGGCTACTATTTTGATGTCTCCAATAAACTCTCAACCATGTTCTTCATATTTCAAGGCATCTAGCAAGATCTTGACACTGCTGTATTCATCTTTGAGCCACACCAATTGCACCAGAGGAAGAGATAGATACACATTCCTATTATGAAGCAGCACGGCTTTGAGACTTCTGGATGAACTGTCAATGAAGAGGCGCCACTAACTGGGGTTACAGGCGATTACACTTGCCTTGAACAGACTGGTTACATTGTGACAGAAGCCAAGCCTATCTTGATGAGTGAAAAAACTTGAAAAACACTGGTGACATTTTCTCTGACCTGTGACTTCTACAATTTCATTTAACAAATTCCATTACTTGAGTCTCGACATCAAAAGCTTGGCATTGGACTTTGTAAGAGTAAGATCTCTGAGGTCTTTTTGGTTGGGGTAGTATGGCTTTTTCTCTTCAGTTGCACTTTTCTAATCTAGATCAATAACTTCATTCTCTTCTGAAGACTGCTGCTCTCTATTTGGAGGAGTGGCTACAGGGAGTTCAAGGTCTGATTATATGATAGCAAGCACATTCTTGTCAACTCGACATTTGGAAGTGACCACCATGCAGAAGAACGCAATTGCTTGTGTGGTCAGTTTGTTCCCTCCAAATTCATGGGGTTGCAAATTTCATGGCTCTTATTTTGCCCTCTGTACCATCTTGCAAAAGAACAAAATAAAAATATGAGTATAAAAATTAAAGTATATTTCATCCAGTGTTGTTGAAAAATTCTAAAACATTACATTTTTGATTTTTGAACTTTCTAAAAATTGTGCACAGGATATGTCAATTTCTGACTTTGGACCCCAATTAATGTAGCAAATGCCAAAAAAACACGGAATCTTGAATACTGAACATCCCTAATATTCCATATTTTTATGGTTGTTACCAGTGATCCAGTATAGAAAATATCTATGATACTCTAGATATTAATGCACAGTTGTTGAAACATGTTTAATACATATTTTTCAATAACACTGGTTTAAAAAAAATATAAAAGTAAAAAATATTTAAATTAAAAAAAATTTCAAAACTTTTACAATTAAAAATTCCAGTCTCCAAACAAGCAAAACTTTCCATTTTACCTTCTTGAGTTTGTTTACAGAGTTTTCAGGTGAAATGAGGTACTCAGCGTTTGTCTTGATCTCCCAGCAGGCATGTCAAAATATGCCCTGTAGGCCTTACACATTTTAGCAGATGTTGCCACAGAATACTTTTTGCTCTTGTCTGGATAAATTCGCCACAAACATAGCAAAATGCATCTGCCAGATACCATTTTTTCTTGATACCATCTGTGACAAATCCATCTATCAATGATGACTTGTCTGCACTTGGACAGCTAAAAGTAAATTGAACTGTTGAGCTTACATTTACTGTATTTATACTGCCATCTATGTTGCCAGAACATTCTAGAAATTCTTGGAACTTTTAGAAACTTCTCGAATGTTCTTGAAATTTCTCCTTCAGCAACTCAGCATTAAAAGTGTATGGACTGTAGTGGAAAATAAGTTATATTCAAAATCTCTATGTACAGGTTACAAAAGCAAAGTTTGAATAATAGTCATTTTCTTTGCTTTCTAGACAGAAGTAATTAGGAAATAACACTTACCGACCAAAGCTAAAAAGAAAAAAGTCAAAATTTTATTAGAAAGTAAATCTTTCCATTGTCAGTGGAAAATGCCTATATAAATCATGAGACAATGAAAATTTGCCATGGAGCAGTAGTTAGCAAATCACTCTCTCATACTACAATCAAGAGTTTAATTCTCACTAAGTACTTGTGACATTGTATCAGATTAAACAAAGTTTGGTAAATTTCCTTGATAAGCACTTTGACTTTCTCAACTTTGTATTTTAGAAATAGATAGGTTCGCCTATTGTCCAGTTCACACTCCTCCCCAGTCTTTTGAACAGGAGTAAAGGTTTATCCCTTGTTCCCTGTATAGGATTGGCTTCTAAAGTCTTTTCATTCTCATTCACAGCCAGTAGCCACTTGTATCTTAGTGGCATTATTGCCTTTCTTGGGATGAATTGATTAAAAAAAATAAATAAATCTGAGTCAGCACAAGTCATGGCCTGTCTTGGTAAGATTTAAAATGTTAAATCAATTTTTGCTTTGATGTGAAAATGTAACAGTGTCTGCAGCAAAGGTTGGTTACCACTTGCAACAGCTGCACACAGGAAGTCGAAAAAAGCGTAAGACAAAAAAAAATCGGTTAATTTTATTGCAATGGAAATAAAAGAATCTGTTAAATAATGCAAAAAGGCTTTAATGTCTTTTGTAAAATTTTGTAAAGAAATTTAGCATTTGCTCAATGAGCAATATGGTATAGGAATGTTTTAAAATCTGTTACTATATCAAGACTAATACTGAGTTATCTTCCAACATAAGGTTTAAAAGAACAATTAATGTAATAATTGTGCTTGTCTCTCCCTTCATTAGTTAGCATGACCATTACGTGTGGTCTATACCTCATAGATAATGGACTATTCTGTTTTGATTGTGTGGAAAGTGGGGAGGAAACAGGACTACAAGGTTTCGGTGAGAAAATGAAAGAAAGAATAGAATATAGAAGTAGTGAGAGAGAGAATCAGATTCTATACTTTTATCTCAACCAAAAAGCTGAGAAGTGAGGGTGTCTGCGATAATAGGGCCATTTTCCAGACTCACAGTATCAAATGATGGAAACAGGTAATCACCAAAAATCCAGTTACTGTAAATAACATCGTCTGCTGAATTATTTTAAAATTATTATTAAGAGAAATGTTCATAAGACAGATTTGGCTAGAAAAACAGATGTGTTTAATGTCTGTCATACCTTATAAATAATGGGTTATTCCATTTTGATTGCATAGAAAAACAAAAGCCATATAAATCAAAGAAGGGAAGATGGAAGTGATTAACGGCTGTTTCACTGAAAAGGGAAAAGTTGTCAATTTCAAATCTTTTCATTTGTACCCACTTCTTAAAATAGTGACCAGCATTCATATTTATGATTGTTATTCCAATATTTTGTTAAAGTTGTTCAGCTCAACTATTTTAATGATGAAATAGGGGGATTTCTATGACTATTTTATTGTCATAGAACTTGCTGTGAGCTTATTCAATCATTAACTGAAAAATTAATCAGAAAATTCAAATAAGGAAATCGTGAAATTTTTACGGGTTAGTTAAAACTAGTATTTAATAAAGCTTCACTGGCTTTAAAAAAGATCAAAAAAATAATAAAACTGAAAACCGTATTCTTTTCTACCAAGTACCATCTGGAATAGTCATTCTGGTGAGGAGTTTTCAATTTATAATAAGTGTCTTGATTCAAATAAACGTTCCACTGGGGATTTTTATATAAACTTCATAAACATTGAACAAAATAATCCTAGAGTGGAGAAAACTATTTGCAAAATAAGTGTGACATCTTACTTATTATAAAATGCAGATTGTGTGTGTATGTGTCTGTACGTTTATATATTGGATCGGATTTCCTACATTTTTCAACCGATTTCAACCAAACTTCACAGGACTACGTAAAATTACTTTGCAGTGGTTCTGACAGTGCCAAAAATTGGAAAAACACAATTGTTTTTGCACGAAATCAATTTGAAAACACGATTAAGAGGCGTTAATGAAAGGGGGACAACTTGTATCGAGTTATACTTATTATAAAAACCAGGTTGTTTGTGTGTGTGTATTCATTTGTATATGGGATCAGATTTCCTACATTTTTCAACCGATTTCAACAAAACTTCACTTTTTTTTTTGGCAGGTAGTGTTTCTTATTGTCTTGCACACTTTTGTCTTTATTTTTACATTCAGAATGCTTTAAAAATTCCATTTACAAGACAATTGTTTATAATAAAATTCTATTCAATCGGTAGACTCATAACGATTGAAAACAATGTTTGGGTTTGGGTTTGACCAATTCATAAAAAAAACCCCCAAAAAACTAATTAAGACATGCATGTCTGTCAACCTTAAACAATAATCTTTGTCAATTTCATTTTTCAGTCTTTATGATGGTTGATACTTGATGTATCTCTTACTGTTACATCCCCGGCAACACCGGGCTCTACTGCTAGTACCAAATAAGTACTGTTCATGGGGTGGCGGGTAGAAGGAAATATATATATATATATATATATATATATATATATATATATATATATATATATATATATATCACACACACACACACACACGTTTGTGTGTATTTAAAAATTTTTAAACAGATTTCTAAAACTATTTCTAGATATCCTTTATCTTTTCCACAATCCTCAAATAAATCATTTGTGATATTTTTATAAGTAATTGATGTCTCATGAGAGGCAAGTTAAGCTTACTCTGAGATCTGTATCAGACACAACAGGCCTGCCATTTCATCCACGTTAGCAATGGCATATTTGTTCAGTACGTATGCCAGATTTTTTTTTTCTCCAATGCAGCTCAGCTTCAATCTCTTCTTGCTTTTCCATGCAGCCACTTCTTACTCATGCACCTCCTTTTGATCTCACTGTGGTGAAACCTAGTATCTTTGCTTAGTTGTTCTACATTTTCTATGATGAAATGCAGTTTCGTGTCACTGTATTGCTGCAGAAGCAACAGTTGCATTGTGCTTGCAGAATGATCCTAAGCAGCTATGGTAATGACAGCTATTGTGTGATGCTTGAATTTCTGAACCAACAGTGTCCAATATTTGAATTACAGGCAGGTTTGTTTATATCTCTTCAAGTTTGTAACGTGAACATAAAAGAACACTAATATTTATTAAAAGCTATATTTATTTTTATTCAATTGAGCTAGCTCAGACATTCATGGCTCTATCATGTAAATGATCACAGTCTTGCATCAAGGTCATTAGAATGACATTCTGTGTCATAACATCTCTGGTCAGTGTAAGTGGTTACTGGGCAATCAACCTGTCTTGCTCCATGGCGAGGCGTCCAGATCAGTAGATCACTCGCGAGTTCTTTTGTTTGCCAGCAGTGTCCTGCAAAGTGCAATTCTGCGTTCGTGTAAGATTGTAGAAATATCAGGAAAGGGTCCATAGAGCTGTGATTTACTTGAATGTCTTCTCAAAGAATGTTAAATATAGCACTCAGCATCTGAGTATAGGTTCTATCAAGCTTAGATTCTAGGGTTTTAATTAATGTCCAGGCAGTGGCACAGTACATTAACACCACCTCTACAGTGGCTCAAAAAGGATCTCCGTTTGAGGTTGTTTGGTATATCAGATTTCCAGATTACATCCATTTTATTCAAGGTTGCCTAGGCTTTAGCTATGCAAATTAGCATATCATTTTCAGTAGAATTTATTTCACTAGGTATGTAAAAGATTTGAATGATTTTGGATGTACGGGTTATGCAATTGGCAATTGCTCAGAATTTTTAATCAGAAAGCTGAGTTCAAATTCACATTGGGTTTATTATACTCACTTGTAATCACATAATCTTGGGAAAGGTACAAATCCATCTCTTCCCTCAGTTATGGGTTAATTAGTAAAATGTGTATTGCTAAACCATTATCTAAAAAAAAATATTTCTGGCTTTAAATAACTTGCAAAGGGTTAATAAGCTGTAGAAAATTAATCAAACAACCAATTTTTTAAAGTTGAGCATGAATTTATTTCAATGTAATTTTTACTGCTAGCAGTACCTGTGAAAATTTCAAGTTTTTCCTATTTTAATTTTCTGATGAATTGTAATTAATGACTGAATAAGTTCCTTATGAGTTCCATGACTACAAAATACCTGTGGAAATTCCCCTATTGCATTGTTGAATATTTGAGCTTAGCAGTAAGAAAATATTACAATAACAATCATAAGTATGAATGTAGGTCATTAAAGAAGTAAGAGGGTACAAATGAAAAGATTTTCCCTTTCACTAAAGTATACATTAATGCATGTGACCATTATCACTTCCTCTATTTTCTCTTTCTTCCTTATTCTGTATATGTTCACTGAAACCAAACATGATATATCATTTTATTCTGTCCTTACTTGCAATCAAAATGGAATGGTTCATTATTTGAGGCAATAGCAGAACATATGATACTTCTGAGTTTTAGAAGACTTTATGCTATGGAAAAACAACAAAGCCTTTTTTTTTTACCAGAAAGAAAAACTCAACATCTTTGTACTTATTTTTCAGAAGAGCAACCCAAACCAAAAAAGAAATCTAGTGATGGCAATCCATTCTCATTCAAAAAATTCCTTGCCCACTCTGGCTCTAAGACAAGATGGCAAGCAGGACTTGCAAATGACCTACCTGATTTTGTCCAAGACCATTACACAGGAGATTTGACCCGTGACCTCCGAACCACTAGAGACCTTGACCTCCCGGACTTTACTCTCACACGGGGAGGTTCTCGAAACGAGACCAATGACTTTCATAATTCCGATAATTTGGATAATAATCCTGCCAGCCGAGACCGATCCAGTGCAACATTTCCTGATGCCCGAACCTGGAATGAGCCGACCAATTGTCCCCTTGATTCGGATGATATCTTTTCACATAATGCTGAAGTTAATGGTGTGGCACCACAGTTGGCTTCAAGTTTACCAGACTTTCTTTCTGATGGAGCCTTTTCAAATAGTGGTGACATCAGTCGACATCCTCCAATTACAGTTCAGGTGAATCCAGGTCGAGAAGTTGCTGCCTTGGAAATTAATGGTGACCTGGAGTTGGAATTAAGGAGGGTAAGTAGATATTTTTAGTAATTAAATTTTAATGAAATCGTAAAGTACCATAACAGCTACTGGTTTTATATGTGAAGTTGAGGTATTTGATTGTCTGATAACACAGATTATCAGTTCTTGCATTGAGACTAACTCCATGATATAGGAATAGATAAGTTCGTTTATCATCTGGTTCGCACTCCTCTCCAGTCTTTTGAACAGGAGTATAGGTTTATTCCTTGTTTCCTGCTTAAGATTGGGTCTCTGGTTTGTTCTAAAATCTCTTCATTCTCTTTCACTTCCTATGGCCCCTTGTGTCTTGGTGGCCTTGTTGCTTTGCTTGGAGCAAATTGATTTAAAAAAAAAAAAAAAGAGAAAATATACCATAAACTGTGCCTATTACTCCGTAACATTCTACCTCGAGTAGCTCTTGCACCTTGTATAGGGCAAACATCATTGTCAAAAAAAAAATATATATAAATTGGGAGTCTTACAGTTTTGGTATTAAATCTTTTATTCATATAAATTCATAGTGTCATTATTCAGATCTCAGTTTATTTTCCCTGGCTTTTTATGATTTTATGCAACCTTTTAGGTATTAGGTTAATTCAAAACTATGGCATACTTTATTAAAGACCAAATCCTAACATCTGAAAGGTAGCATAAGATACTTTGTATTTTTTGTGGCAGAGAAAATACTTTGATTACAAGATAATGATGCTATGGTTTATATTAATAAAAGATTTTGTCAAAAAATGCTGGACACTTTTACACCAAACTAATACCTGAAAGGTGGTGTATGGACACAGTATATAACAGCTTTTGTTAAAAAAGATTCTAAAAACTTTCAAGCGTGGCATGCCAAGTTGTGACGCATTTTTTGCCCAGAAGTGGAGGCTCATCTCAAATCTTGTAGTTCCACTGGAAGTGAAGATTTTTCATTTTGGTGGCATTAAAATTAACAAGCTATTTCTTGCCCTGTTAATAACAGATTGTCAGTCATTTTCATGATCAGTTGCCAGTTTGGATTTCATCAGACTTCCTATGAAGAAGTCCTAAATGACTCCATTTCTTTTCTGGTCTTAAATTCCATCCTGTAAAACTAGCAGCATGGTGTCATTGCAGCCCTATTCTCTACAATGTCTACAACTTCCAGAAGATAAAATAGCCATTTCTGAGTTTCTTAAATGAAGCATTTGCCTTTATTAATTTTGACTAGTTCTTCTTTCATTTTAATTTTGCTGCTTTTTATTGAAATTCTTGGATCATTTGTACATTTCATCAGTAGATTTTATCAGACTTCCTATGAAGAATTCCGAAGCATTAAAACAACTCCATTTATTTTCTGGTCTTAAAGTTTACTATGTTCTCAACAAATCTGTCCATGACCTGATATTCATCTTATACTTTTATGACATCTATTTCTTGAGTCACAGCCATATAACATCGAAACACCGTTTACTATATGATCACCAAACTTAAGCAATGACGAGCCTAGTCACTACCTAAATGGGTGACTGCTTGAGAATACCAGGTACTGTAAACTTGGATGTGCAGGTGGTGTAATGGTTAATGGTTCAGAATTGTTAATTGAAGAGCAGAGTTCCAAGTCCTGTTAGGTTCGTTATATTCACTTACATGCTTAATTGTGAAAGGTATAAATCCACCTCGTCTCTCCCCATCTATAGGTTAATTAGTAAGACTTGTTTCACTAAAACAATTATCATCTCATAAAAAAAAATAAAAAATTATGTACAAAATATTTAGATTTTGGTATTAAGTAACCCATGGAGGTTGTTATTGCTGCTAAACAAAACCAACCAACTTTGTTGACTTATGGCCACATCACACTGAAACACTGGTTTCCTTACAATCACTGAAGTTAAGCAGCATTGAACCTTGGTCAGTACCTAGATGGTGATTGCTATGGAATACCAGGTCCCGTAAGTTTGGATGTGTGGGTGGTGTAATGGATGATAGCTCTGGTAATTTTATTATATTGTTGCATTTTGTTATATTGTTATATATTCGTCTTTGGTTTTTGTCAAGAACCTTGAGAAGAACAGCAGGGGCACCAGACCATATATGGCAACAGTATTCCATTCATGGACGAATGGTAGATTTTTAGATGTGAAAGATGTACTCAGGCGAGCGAAATCTTCAGGTGTGACAAAGAGAACCAACTTTCCTTGCGATAGATGCAGTTATTGATTCAACATATTTGTTCCATCTCAGTTTAGTAGAAATTGTGAGACCAAGAAGGTGCAGGGAAGCACTCTCATGGAGTTGAGCCTCAACGATGCTGATAGGAGTCAGGGAAGTTTCTCTATGGGGAGTGAATGACAGCAGTTTCGTTTGGATGCATTAAAATTTGCAAGCCATTTCCTATACTATAACCAAGTAGAATATGGTAGCAGTAATCGACTGATATGCGTTGTAGTCACAGGTAAGAAGTGTAGATCAATGGCGTAGTCCAATGGGCGTCGTTATAGACTTAGCTCTCAGACTAAGGCTCTGACTCAGTCGTACCTACACATCCGTCGGTATTTATGACGGACACCAGTCAATCATATTCCAATGAGGAGGAATACAGGTGTATGCATATTCCATTATATCAGCCATCATGCCAAACCCTTCGATATATATATATATATATATATATATATATATATATATAGAGAGAGAGAGAGAGAGCAACAGCTCAAGCTTTGCCGTTATTATCAAGAGCTGGATATATATATTCAGTTATGACCATAAGCACATCAGTGGTAGACTGGGCAAAGTGGAAACTGTATTGTTTGTCAGAGAGCGGATCATGGGATATAAGGTGCTTAACTATTTCAGCATTGATTAACGCCTTGAAGATTTTACCGGAGAGTGGTAGGAGACTGGTGGGACAGTAGTTAGGTGGGTCTTAAAGACCGGGATGACAGAAGAGGACTTTCAACGGGATAGAAAGCAAGAATTGATGAGGCAATAGTTGTATAGTTTGGAGAGCTCATGGAGCCCATTTCTTTAGGACTACGGCTGGTATCCTGTCACCACCACGTGCTTTATGGAAGTCTAATTTAGAGATGATGTCTGATACCATCGATGGGATTATGCACATCTTGCTCAGTATAGCTTCAGTTCTTGGAGGAAATCAGGTGTGGGTACCCCAGATGAATCATGTGTCGAGTTGGAGGAGAATTTCTGAGCAAAGCATTCAGCCTTATAAGCTGAGGATGTTAGGAATTCAAATTGATTGAATACAAGAGGGATTGAGGATTTTCTGTAGTGCCAATCTTGCAGAAGTGCCAATAATCTTTAGAACCAAACTTGCAAGATGCAATATGTTGTTTCATTCTATCAGCAAACAGTAACTTTGCTTTATTGAAGACATGCTTGTGCTCATTACGAGCAGAGAGAAAGAACATTTATTTTGTATAAATACAAAATTGTGGCACAAGGCCAAAGGGGAAATGGGGGGAAAGGCTGGTCTTTCCCTGACTGTCCTACTCCTAGTTAACCACAATCACAACCTATTCTTTTGATACAATACATTCAATCACCACAAGAACTTGTCCAGCTCCCAATCCTACATGTACCACAATACCACATATTCACAAGGGACCTACAAAACACTGCATGATGTAAAAATTTGTGCAGTTCTTAAAGTCTCTTTACAAAAATATATAAAAATTTCATATTAACAACCCCTACCATATAGTTTGTGTGATAAAATAGCTGGTCAGTGTAGTGGTTGCTGTGTAATCAACCCATCTTGCTTCATGACTAGGTATCCAGAGCAGTAGAACATTCATGAGTTTTTGTTTTGTGTCCTGCAAAGTGCATTCTGCGTTCGTGTAAGATTGTAAAAATATCAGGAATGGGTCCATAGAGCTGTGATTTACTTGGATGTTGTCACCAAGAGATGTTAAGTATAACTCTCAGCATCTGAGTGTAGGTTCCATCAAGCTTAGGCTCTAGGGTTTTAGTTAATGTCCAAGTAGTGGCTGCACACATTAACACCGCCTCTACAGTGGCTGCACACATTGACACCGCCTCTACAGTGGCTGCACACATTGACACCGCCTCTACAGTGGCTGCACACATTGACACCGCCTCTACAGTGGCTGCACACATTGAAACCGCCTCTACAGTGGCTGCACACATTGACACCGCCTCTACAGTGGCTTGAAAGAATCTCCGCTTGAGGTTGTCTGGTAGATCAGATTTCCAGATTACATCTCTTTTATTTAAGGTAGCCCAGAAGAATTTATCTCACTTTCTAGTTATGTAAAAGATTCAACAGATTTTATTGATTAATCTGGGACTGTTTGTATTGAGCTTTGCTGGTTGGAGCCTATGAATTCAGTTTTAGAGGTATCAAAATTGCCAGCATTTTCTCAATGATGTAAGAGAACATTGGTAATAGTGCCTGCATATATTTTGCATGTGCATACAAATATTGAATATTATATTTATATTTATGTTCTTTGCAATTGGACTAATGTCTTTGTTAACACTATGACAACATTTCGTTGATTACATCTTTCAACCTTCTTTCAGATGTCTATCTAGATTTCAGGGGTTTTCAAACTCTATATATTTTTTTTTTTTTAATCATATCTCATGCAAGGCAATAAAGCCACTAAGCCACAAGGGGTTACTGGATGTGGAAGAACAGCATAAAAAAAAAAAAAGAAACTGAATAAGAAGAATAATCAAGACAGGAGATAGCGATTGGCATTGCATTTAAATTGTTAAAGATTAAAGTTGGCTGTTCTCATTCCACTGTCCACATCTAGAGAGACTTTGTCTGGGTTAATTGTTCACTTATTGCTAATCCTGTTTCTCTTGAGTCTATTGTTGTTACCCAGCCCAGAGATTGAACTCACAATTACTATATCATCAATTGTACTAACTAACAATTTAATCCTGAGAGGAATTTTGAACTGAAACCTTTTCTTTCAGCTTGTTCTCATTTCATTGTCCATGCCTAAGGATATCACACTTGATTTATTTATTTATTTACTTTTTTTTTTCTACCTGACCCAGGGATTGAATTCACAATTACTATGCCAGCAATTTCACTAACCAACAATTTAATCTTCTAGGTCAGAGGTGGCCAAACTGTGGCTCATGAGCCACATGTGGCTCTTTGACCTCTAATATGTGGCTTGTGGAAAGATGTTGACTGAGTTACTTTTTTTCATCACAGTTAATATAAAAGAAAAATTTCAAGCTTTATCATGATTTACTTGGTATGAATTGAAACCCCATTAGATTAAAACATGTTTAATGTTCATGGTTAGTAAAAATAATTAAGAATTTAAATCCTAGTTTTAATGCTAGCTCTGAGCGAGGGATTGTTCTTTATTGCTGAGGGAAGGAGTAGTGGGAGGCAAAGGGATTAATTTCTGGTCAGCAAGAGGAATATCAGAAGACTGATGTCATGGGTAAGGGTACCGCATTCACGTCATGTAATGCAGTGTAACACATGACATTGAACTGTGCAGACCCTGTTTGTACACTTCGGATATATGTTTTATTTACGTGTCAAAATTTTGAAAACATTGTGTGTGTGTGTGTGTGTATATATATATATATATATATATATATATATATATATAAAATACACTTTGTGATTACTGAAACCAATACAAATTAACAGTTAAAAAACTGCATACATGCATTTCTTAATATTTATATAAACATTTTGTAACAAAATGTGTATACAACAAAAACGTATGTGTAAATTTTTTTCAAGTCTTGCAGCTGTCTAATATCTGAACTTTATCATATGTGACTCTTACATTAAGCAAATTTGGCCATCTCTGTTATAGGTTATTTTGAAGATTATCTTGAATTTTATTTTTATTAGATGAAGCCTTGTCAATTCTTATTCGTTTTTCACTAGTATTTCTTTCATCTTCATTTCAATTGCATTATTTCCACTCGTAGTAATATTATCTGGAATTTTATTATTTGATGAAGCCTTGTCAATTCTTATTAATTTTTTTTCTGTAGTATTTCTTTCATAAATTTTGAATCTGGCTTAGTAGTTTATTTTTTTTAATTTTTTATTTAAGATCCGCCCTGTTTACTGCTTGACAAGAACTGACTGAGTCATTCTAATGCAAAGTAACTATAATTAAAATTAAAGAAATACTAATAAAATAATATAACATTTTAGTCATATTTAAACAGTAAAAGAGTTTCTATTTATGACCTTTTGTTTGTCTTGAATGGAAGCCATCTTGATGTTAAACATCTATAAATAGTAGAGAAGTTGCTGGTTTTAAACAAAATGAAAAACTTAACTGGCTGCCCGATGAAAGCCTGCAATTAGTTGCCTTTTTAGTTGTTTTAATCACATTTCTATTCATTCAGTGTTAGATTAAAAAAAGTTATTTAATTCTGGGTGACATTTTAGAAAATGAGTTATACTTGTAATACCAATAGAATTTCCATGGTGGTTTGATATGAATGCAAAGATTATGTCTAGACTGGACCACAGAAACTATTATTTTAACAATAAGATTCTTTTTAACCAAATTTAAATGCTTTAAATTTCTAAGTCTTAAATTGAAACAAGGCTTAGTCCCTGGCTCTACACTTAGAGCTGTAATAATTGAACCCCACCTCATTTATTAAATTTTGAACCCCTCACTATGGAAACTTCCTAGAAAAAAAGTTTCATTCTTAAGGGATTCTAAAAATTAGTTCTAAAAATTGAATTATAGCAAATCAAAATAATATTTTCCTTATGTAGCGCACCATCTGTTATTTTAAAACTAATAATTTAAGATAAGAAAAAATATTTGGAAGTGGCTCATATGAGAAATATTCTATTGAAGAAAAGCAAAACTTTATAACTGTTGTACAGAAATATGTTAAGCAAGTGTGAAACATCAATATTATTCATGCTTTTTCACAATCCATTCATGGATATGGGACCCCCCCCCCCCTTTTTCCATTTCAAATTTTCTTTGATTCCGTTTACAGTTTTGGTAAATTTCTTTTTTTCCATTTTTACTTTAGGAAATTTCATTTTTCCATTTTATAGTATTTTATGAGAAAATTGCAATACAATATGCTATATTATTATTATTAAAACTGAAACCCCAAAATATAATTCAAAGTTTTATTGCATATAAAGAAATAACAAATATCATGCCATTCCAAAATGATTGGATATTAAAAGAATTTGGTAAATCATCTTCATTAAGTCACATTTGGAATTTTTCAAGATCAATAGAAGGACATTGCAAGTCGTTGATGGTTGCAAAACTGTCTAAATCATACAGGGTAGCTGTCTAGAATCAAACAAGTGAGATGCCTTGTAAATGTCATACACAGGGCGGGTCTCTAGGTATTTATTCAGTTTCAAAAAAGATGTGCTGAAAAAACCTTGGAAATTTGAGATAATTCTCTCCCTTTGTGTTTTTTAGTTACGACAGAAGACGGTCAATTTCTAGGCCAAATATTGTTTTTGATGTACCAGTATGCAAATACTGTTTTACATCCTCCATCATTCTTAAAAGATCTATCTTACTTATAGATTCTAAAAATTAATTCATAGCAAATCAAAATGATATTTTCGTTATTTTAAAACTAATCTAAAAGATAAGAAAGAATATTTGGAAGTAGCTCATATGAGAAATATTCTATTGAAGAAAAGCAAAACTTTGTAACTGCTGTACAGAAATATGTTAAGCAAGTGTGAAACATCAATATTATTCATGCTTTCTTGCAATCCGTTCATGGATATATACAATAACGCATGATGATTCATAAAGAACATTAGAAACACGTTTTGTAAAGCTTATATTGTGATAAAAATTGATTTAAATTCTCATTAAATAATTTTCTGCATGTTTTCATTCAATTTCAAAATAAATTAAACTTGAGGCTAATCCGACTGCCCCCTCAGTTATATCCATCCCCTACTGCTTATTAGATTTTGAAGAAATTTCCTCTCCCCCTGCCTATTTCAACTCTGTCCTTTTATTAAAGACACTAGTTTATTGCTAGGATATGATATGATGATTAACTTAATTTTGCTACTCACTAAAATTGACTTTACATACAATTTTGTAATTGTTTGAATTTTATCCACCGTCAATTATTAATTATTCAACTGGTCTTTCTTGCAACTCCGATTGTAGAAAGAAGTGATCCAAGTAGATCTTGAAGTGCCAAAAAGCTGCTCTATCCACTGTCGTTCATTGTTTACTTACCACAGCACAATATCAAAATGTGATAAATGTTTAGAATTAGAGGTGTACCCACCCAATGTGGCATACAATTTAAGGTTGTATTTTATGTTGAGTTGTTGAAATATAAACTTTATTTTGACCATTGCCCTAGATATCAAGCTATATCCCTTATCCTACCACTTTAGTGCAGTAAGGAGATGCTGTCTATAAAATAGATCTCCAGTTGCAAGGCATATTTTTAACTTACCTTATACAAAGACAAAAGTAAACTAAATATCAGGTTATGTCCACTAAGACTGTCACGTTTGTCAGTGTCCACAAACTATTAAGTAAATGAATTCACTGACAGGCAATTAAATGCATAAGAGAAAAAAACATTTTGATTTATTGTCCTAAATCAGGTTTCCACTGTGAATTTTGAAACTGTTTGGTTGGTTATTTGACTTTTTTAAACCAATTATATCTAATTGCTTTCTTTGGAGAACAAATGTCTTGTTATTCTAGCTGATTTCAGTGCTTCTACAGATTTAGTTCTTTCAATCTTATTTGTTACGAGTGCTCTTATAATAATAGGTACTACTGTCACCATTTTTTTTTTTTTAAAATCAATTCACCCCAATTTTTGATGGCATGAGTAAAACTTATTAAGTCAAGAGAAAACTAGGAAATAATCGAGAGAAAACTAGGCAAATGTACCAAATATTATGGGATATTTGTATATTTTCACATATAGAATCTCATTCCAATCTTTTCATGCTAGTCTTTTCATATTCAGTTTACTGAATATATTAGATTTCTTTTGACCATTGGTGAATTCATCTCCTTCCCCACCTATAGATTAAATAGTAGAACTTGTATCTGGGACAATCATTATTTTTAAAAAAATAGCAAATGCAGTATTCACTCACAAAAAAGGAAGATTCTTACAATTGAAAATCTGTTTCTGCTTTAAATAAACCACAAAGGGTTGATAAACTGTAAAAATCAAGACCTTTCTATTCTCTTTTACTCGGGCTCTATGGTGGATTTTGAAGCTCATTTCTAGCAAACTGTAAGGAAAATATTGCAGCTTACATCATTTCTCTTTTTCTGCGGCTGTATTTTTGGGGGAGGTTAGGTGTCATTTCATACCCCCCCACACACACACACACAATTAATATTCACATTTACCACCACTGTTTTTCAGTTAAGAGATGAAAATCGTGAAATCCGTCGACAGTTAACTGAAGCCCAGCATTTAGCTGCCACGCAAGCCAATCGGTGAGTGTTAGTAATTTATACTTGCTTGCATTGTTTTCTATTCAAACCTGTTTTGTTTCTGTGTGTTAATATTTATGCAGGAATGTCATTTAAATTTGAGTCTTTTGTTTGTTGATAGGCTTTAAGTGTTTCATTAACAGAAACTAAGGCTTTTCTCTTTTCTTTTTCTCTTCTTTTCTTTTTTTTTTCTCTTCTTTTCTTTCTTTTTCTCTTCTTTTCTTTTTTTTTTCTCTTTTCTTTTTTTTTCTCTTCTTTTCTTTTTTTTTTTTTCTCTCTTCGTCTCTTACCTGATTAATTTCATGTTGATTCTGCAGAACACAAACCGTTAATACTGTGACTGAAGCCAAGATGCCAGATCAGGACCAATAATATTGCTGATTCTTTAGATTTTATTAAGGATCTCTAGATATATAGTGTGAACATCAGATTATATGTAACAGCAATATTCTAATCATGGGCAAATGATAAACTTGTAAATATGCAAAATAAATTCATGGGAGGAAAATTGTCTAGTGTGACGCAGTGAACCAACTTTTTGGCAAAAAAAAAAATATTTAATATTAATTATTCAGTCAGTTATGTGCTGTGTGTGATACACGCTTAGGCAATCATGTATCTTTTGATACATGACTGACAAGGCAGAGTTTTTCCCTTAGTAGGTTGCCATTTCTTTCTGTGGTAGACTAGTTGCCATCCAAGGCTATAGAACCCAGTCTGTGCTGCTAGCTGGAGGGAGAAGAAGAGGATTCATACCTTTCCCAAGGGTACTAGCACGTACGTGAATGTCTTGGATTCGACCGGAATAGGTTTTGTAAAATAAAAAATATTTAGTGTTAATTATAGTTATTCTAAAATAATAATAATAATAATAATCATCTGGATTCTACATAAAACTAAAAAAAAAAAATGGATCTTTTAAGTTAAGCAGAATTGATTTTCATCACTTATAGCACAATGTGACTTCATGTATTTATCAGTCACTCAGCCTGATGTCTCCTTAGTAATGAGATTTTTTACTCTAACAATGGAATAACTCATAAATAAGGAACTCGGGTTATTCGTATATTAATTTATTTTGTTCATGTCAGCTTTCTTTAGATATTTTTACTTTTAATGATTTCAAAGGCAGATTTGTTTCTTACCTGTGATAATAGATTTCATTGTAGAGATAAAAATCCTAGATTAATCATTCAGAAGATATAATTGATATGATTACAAAATTACTTAAAAATGGCCGTCATTATTTGACAGTGAACGTCCTGTTAGCTTTCTTTTAGATATTTTTACTTTTAATGATTTCAAAGGCAGATTTGTTTCTTATCTGTGATAATAAAGTTCATTGTAGAGATAAAAATCATATAAAATTTTTTTTCTTTACCTATCCCTGAGACTATTATGCTTTGGTTTTTATTTGGTCAAAAACCAAAGCTTCTCAAGTACTAAATCAAAATAGCCATTCCAATAGTCATACAATTTGCATGTCATGATTTGATTTCTCGGCCATCTTGTGACCAGCAACTTTGGCCACTGTATGAGTTTGCCCTCAGCAAAATGTCTTTTTTTTTGTCTAAACTTCAGCTTATTTAGGGATTAGTAGGAAAACTCCACTTCATGGGGAGGTCAGTTTTCAATCTGAGTTTTTTTTACATTTTGTCTATTTTGATACTAGTCAATCCCTACCCTCAAAAGATGGCAGCTGTATTTAAGTAGATTTGCAATTGGATTCTACTTATAGAATATAATATGAATATTAAACTAAACAAATTACTTTCTATTTGTTATTGAATAATTAGGACTTCTTTGTCACCAGAAGAATAACGAGGATTTATAAGTGCATACAAGCACACACAAGCATCTATCTATAGTGTGCGTGAGGATACATACATAGGTTACTACATAACTGTTAACATGATCGTTGCATATTTTACACTCTAAGATTCCATTTAATACCAAGCAATTCAGATTTGTCTCCCTTGACTACAACTTCCTGTTGAGGAGGAAACATCATATAAAGAGAATTCTGCATTCAATGTTTAATTTTGTTTAAAATATGTGGCTTCTTTCAAAACGCCATATGGCTCACGAATTGCTACATTGTATCTTTTAAAAAAAATTTCTATCTAGTTGCCATAATTTCCGGTTAAATTTTGAATTCTTTCTCAATTACATCCCTCTCAATGTTAACTTCTTTTCATTGGCTAAATTATCATCAGCAACTTCTGTTTTCCTTTCTTTCCTTTTCTTTTTTTTATGTCTTTATTTTCTTACCTCTTTCTATTTCTCTTTCTTCTTTCCTTTTATTGACTTCTTATCCTCTTCTTTTTTTCTGTTTTAACCTGTGTATTTCTTTTCCTTTTATGATAAAATTATATAATTATTTCTTTTTCTTTTATGGAAATTTTTATTATGTCTTTCTGATTTTTTAAAAATATTAAAAGAAGTGATGTTTCATAACTAGCATTTAAAAAAAATTGTTTATAAATATCTTTGACCACCACCTGATGAGATGTCTGAATTGGGTATCAAAAAAAATGTGCCTTTTTGTAGTGGTATCTTAAATGTTTGAATGTAATAACTTATAATAAATAATTATTGCTCTACTTTTGTCTTGAGCTCTCTTTTAAATTAATGTTATGAACAGTTGAAATTATATTAGTCTCATTCTCTTTGCATTTAGAGATATATCCCAAAAAATTTTGCTTGTAGATGGAACAGAGCTTGGTACTTTAATTCAATTTAATTCGAATAATTATATTGAAGTTTTCGGCTCTTGTTTTGAAACATGAGAACTCTTATGTAGCATTGGAATCATATTTTTAAATATATATATATATATATATATATATATATATATATACACACACATATACGTATGTATGTTTCATTAAATAATAGAGATATTATGTCTTTATTTTTATAATAATCCTTTCAGTGGCAACTCAAGGTCGGCAATGTTTGTTGGGCTCATTGCAATCTTTAACAAAATGATTTTTATATTTTAAGTTTTTTACACTTTAAGTTAGTGAAGCTTCGAATAAAAAATAAGTTACAATAAAATGGTGAGTTAAACTCTCAGAAATAGAAAAGTGTGTCCATATCTGTTAGCAAAAGAGTTTTTAATAAAAATGTTTACTAACTATTGCTGAGCAAAATAAAAAAAATTATCAAGAAAAATCTTAAAATGTTTGGTTAAGATCTTTTAGCATTGATTGAAGCATTGCATTTGATAGTATTTTGACAACTGATAATACTATATCATCTCTCATAGTTCTGCATTCAATATTTACTTAAAACATAATTTCACTCTTTTTGGTAAAGAAAAGTAGAATGCACTAGCCAGGTATGTTTTTTTTTTTTTTAAATAACATGTATCTATCTCAAGTGTGTGTTTGTATATATGTCTATGCGTTAGTGTGTTTATCTCTGAATTTTTAGTTTAATTTATTGTACATTTATGATCAGTACTGCTAACTGATATCATATTTCCTCAACACTGCCCTAGTCACACTCACCACCCCAACACTCCAGTTGACAAGTTAAGGGTGTCAATTTATTTGGTTTTCACTGATTTTAAGTCAGGTTAAATTTAATTTGCTCTTTTTTCAATCGATACATTCTGCTAAAGAAAATCTTATGCTGTATGGAATAAATTATTCAAAATGGACATTTGAAAACGATGAGTTGAAATAAAAATGTGTTCTTTGAAAAACAGGGCATACACTTCATTGGAGATTTTTAAAAGATTATTTATAAAATTAAAGCAAGAAATACATTGCCTATTAAGCATGTCCCCAGCTTGTAAGGGCTCAGATCTATGCAACCTGACTGACCACGTTAATTTTATTTCATTCTTTTTTACAGTAACTTCTTTCATTGTTATGAACAATATTAATGAAATGTATTTCAGTCCATATTTTGAGGCACAGAGTTAAAACAATTTTGATCTAGCTGAAGTCAAGAATGAAAATGACGTACTGCAAAAGATCTTTGTTAACTCGAGTACTTTTGATCTCCTCTGAAATCATCCTCAGGAGTGAATTGTGAAGACAAACTTAATGTAACTGTAATCATTGTGATAGTGATTTTGCAAACACGCACAAAAATTAACCATTGTGGTTATAATGTTTTGTAAACAAGCATTCCCAGTTGAAGGGTGATAACCAGAGATGGTAATTGTAAAATGGTAAATTTCAAAATGTTAAATGTTAGTCAATTCAAATGCATTTTAAAATATTGCTGTTATACTCATAATAAATTTTGTTCAGTGTTGGTTGATTGCTTTTGATATAGAGGGCCTTAAGAATGTAAAGTTTTTGTTTATTATTTTCCTGGTGTAGTATTCCTAATACTAAGATCATTACCACCACCTCCAAGACAATATATAATTAGGAAGAAAAATAAACTCAACACCAATTCAAATAAATTATCAAATAAATTGTTTACAATGCAAAAATGTTTACATGGAAAAGACATGTAATCTAAAAACCTGCATCTATGAACACGAGAGATTTGCATTTAGACAAACGATCTCTCTTATATTGCATCCAAACGATGCTGGACATTGATTTTACTAATGCCACCCTAATTAAAAAAGAACATGATTCTTTAAGGAGAAAAAACTTTGAAAACTTAATAACATTATTATCAACTATAAACACATGCCTAAAATATTACATGACAATCTTTCTTTGAATCTATTCTTAAAGAATCTATCTTATATCTAATACAAAGAAAATATATCCTACAGATGCATGCTGGGATTTCTTCCTAATCAATAAAAATAGACAACGAAAGTAAAAATGGTGTTTTAGACAAAGCAACAGTAATAAGACAAAAATTTCATAATGTAAAAAAATGGTGTTCACGTGCAAAAGGGATACAGATAAGTGATTTTTAGCATTCTGACTTCAAAACAAGACATAACAAAAATATGGTGATGAGAGTGAGAAGTTGTTTATTTTTATTGGTTAGGAAGAAATCCCAGCATGCATCTGTAGGATTTGTCTATAAATTTAGAGATGGCGATATGTTTTTGCAGTCATTTCCAGAGATTGGAACCAAGAGAAGAAAAAAAAGCATTCTGATTTTTCTCCTTTACTAATAATATATTCCCTTGTTATGGTAATATGAGTTATTTTTACTTTGAGCAGTGTTGAATAATAGCCCATGTCACCCTAGCAACAGAATATCTTATGACTTTCTAGAAATTCCTTTCTTTACTATCTTTCTTGGAGAAAGTGGCTTCTCTATAGTTTTGAATTCAGTTTTCCTTCTCTTAGATTGCTTGCCACTCAAGGCTTGCCCTACTGTTTAACCCATAGCTTGAGAGGTGGAGAAGAAATGGATTCATGTTGTTCCTAAGAGCAACAGACTAGTCTGGAATTTGAACTCTGCTTGCCAATTCCATTTTCTATGCTGATAACCATTACACCACCTGCACACTCTGTTTAGAGATAAAAAGAGTGGTGATTTAAATTAAAGAAATAGCATTAAAAATTAATATCTTCATATTTCAAGGAAATAAACAGAAGAAAATCCCCCCCCCCAAAAAAAATGGTTCATGGGATTTTAAATATTTGCGTGTCTGTGCGTTCATAGAAGAAGCATACAAAAACTTGGGTTTCTACTATGGAGTGTTTATTCTTTTTTATTTATGGTAACTGTAAGGAGTTATTGTGGAGTAATGGATAGTGGCTCAGATTGAGTACTTGGAGAGCAAGGTTCAAATTCCAGTTGAGTTTATTGCATTCACTTGTGTGCTAAAACCCTTGAGAAAGGTATGCATTCATCTCTTCTCTCCCCCAACTATGTAAATAGCAGGACAGACTGAGACCTGTAGCCTTGGAGAAGAAAAACTCAGAATTCAAACCACCTGCTACCTTGTAGGTCTTCCCTCTTAATTTCTGAGAGGATGTGCTTTCTGTTTTGATTGCAAGGAAAGATGGAAGAAAAAGGTATATCAAAGACACTGTTTGGTTTTTGTGAGAAAAAGAAAGAATGCATTATCATCATCATCATCACCATAAAACTGATGACAGGACAGGTTTGAAGGACTCTGGGTACTCTTCGATAACAGAACTTTCACTGTCTTATTACCTACAGCAAGCTTTGCCGTTTCTCAAGGGAATTGATGAGTTGTGAATGTGACCATACTAACCATAATCTGTTACTGCCATGTTTGTTTTAATCATTTCACATCAAGCAAGGTGGGAATGTCACTAGTATATAGGCTACAGAGAGTGAAAGTGAGAGAAAAGAATGTATATATATGGGGTGGGGGATTAAGGAAAGGATAAAAGATGAACAGGATTCAAGAAGATTGCAATTGATGTTGCATTTAAATTTTTGAAGATTGTAGGGAAACAAGTAAACAGAAGGGGGTTTCACAGGCAGGAAGTGTGAGAAACTGCTGGAGTAGAAGTGGCAGTTACATTTAACTATTTCAACAGTAAAGTAAGGGTGTGGGGACTAGATGCCAATCTAGTAGCACACTTAAATTCACGTAGTCAGGACACCAGAGGAAAAAAGCTCGTCAGAGTAGTGACCATGAAAATATTTATAAAAAGGACAGAAGAAAACCATGTCACGTCGATGGAAAGTGACTAAAGTTGAAACTGGTGTTGTGTTTACCTGTTTAATTGGATATCCGACACTCATTGTAAATCTTTTAGCTGAAAACAAGGCCGTTCTGATAACAATTTCTTATTGCCATTTATTACATTCTTTCATTTTCTTTTTGTTTGTAGTTGGAATAAATAATAAACCTCTACACCAGGACAGATCTTCTTTCCTTTCAAGCCTTTTGCTATTAATGGTCAGTTTAAAAATAGCAGTGATGTCTTTTTACATATCATTTTCTTTTAAGTCAGAGTTTTTTTTTTGTTTTTTTTTAACTCAACTTCATTCTACTTCAATGAAAGGTAGCTTCATCTCTAATGGCCAAAAGACAAAATTGGCCTTACTAACTGATTTGTGTGATCTTTTCCAATGTCTGCAAGCATGGACCTTTTTTTTATTTTTAATAAAATCTTTGGACACAGGAATTGTTACATAGGACTTTTCTTCAGACAAAAAAACAAAGATTCTCTTGACAAAAACCAGATAACCTGAGCTGGTTAGCTGAGTTCATTTGATGAACCCATAAATACAGGGTGGTCCACTGTAAACTAGGTTTGTTTGGGATATCTATAAAAGTATTTGGGATTTATTCGGAAGGTTATTTTATGTGTACATGTAAATTTTGTGTATGACACCACTAAACTATTAATATTATTCACATATATTAGACTAGAGTTTCCCAAAGTTGTGTATAGCAAAACTTTAATTAATTACCTTACTTTTTAACTAATTATTAACTGACTTTTTCAATGAATTTTCTTTTTAATACAGAGCTTTTTCAAATGTTTCATATTTGCTACATCCCCCCCTTTCTTATGAATCATTTCACCCCATGCAAGGCAATAATACCACTAGGATGCAAGGGATCAATGAGTGTGAGAGAATATGAGAAACCATAAGTGAGGAAGGAGAAAGGACAATAAAAGAACAAAATCAGGAAGGCAGAAGATGGCAATTGACATTACATTTAAATTTTTGAAGATTGTAGGTGGCAGAGAAGCAAGAAACCAAAAGAGTTCCACAGGTAAAAAGTGTGAGAAAAGAAATTATTAGAATAGAATCTACGGTTCTATCTAGCTATTTGAACAGTAAAATGGTTGCAATTTAGTAGTATGCAGCTGAGTTACCAAGGATGAAAGCTCACTGGAACAATTGAAAATATTTATAGAAAAGACCAAAGGAATCCACATCATGACAGTGGGGAAGTAACTGAGATACCAGGTTAGAACTGATTAAATTACAGACCGTTCTTTTTTTTGTTTGAAATCAGAAGATGGCGATTGAAGTTGCATTTTTGAAGATTGTAGATGACAGTTCCACAGGAGAGAAGTGCAAGGAAAGAAATTAGAATATAAGTTATAGTTAAACATAGATATTTCAATAATAAAACTACACTTCAATTCATACCAAAGATGAAAGTAATATTTATTTTTGTAAAATACAAAAAATGTGGCACAAGGCCAAAAAGGGGGAGGTGGAAGGCTAGTGTTCATCTGTCTTGTAATTAAACTTAGCTAACCACAATTACTGATCCAAATGTATTACAGTATTCTTTACACCAAAGCAACACATTTATACTGCAGTCACTGTAATGCCTCAGAGTCTCTATGAAGTCCTAACTCATCCCCATATGTACCAAAGATGAAAGTTCCTGAAAATATTTGAAGAAAAGACACAGGGAAGCTACATTAGTGTGGTGGGAAAGGAACTGAAGTTGAGACTGAAATAAAACTTTGTGACACATTTCTTAAATTTTGTTAGCCAAGTCAAATATATAATTCAACATTGTATATAAAAAGAAATAATTTGAGGGAAAATTAATTTCATAATTAAATAACTATTATATGAGCATTGCACAAAATGTACTGCAAGATGCCAGTTTGAAAAGTTCCTTTTTTTAAGGATCTGTCTATTACTCCATGTTTCTTTTCTACAAATGTTGCCTTTGTAAAAGTACCAAAAAATGATTTTCTGATCTTACTTTCCTACCTTTTTTGAAATTTTTTGCTTTAGTGTCAATCAGGTATTAAAAGAAATGGAAACCACACAGAAACGGGAAAAAGATGAAACCGAAGCCTTAGAAAAGATGGTCCAACAAGTGGAAGCTAATTTACAAACCACAACTGTAAGTATTGTATGAAGAAATCTGCACATTAATACCTACATAGCTATGATGTACAAAACCATATCCCTTGAGGACTTAGTAAAACTAATATGGATATCATGTGTAATTCAAAGACAAAATGATGACATAATCAAGATGTTGACATTTAAAATTATTTCAAAAGATTAGGAAGGAAAATTGCCATTGATACTGGAAAGAGCAATAACAGCTACTGGACTTGAGAAACCTATTTCCCTGAAAAACTTTTTAAGAGAAAGATTTTTTATAAATTTTAACTGAAAGTAGTACTAGCTGCTTGGTCAATGAATGGTAACTGCTTCCTTATCAAGTCCTTACAGTATGTCCTTTGTAAGCAGGACTGGCAACTTTTAGGCTTGAATATTGTTACCTCTTTATGGAAATTTTTTCTTTCTCTTTGTTTCCTATTAGTTTTTAATATATCCATGTTGAAAATGTTGCTTGATTTGTCCAAAATCAAAAATTAATCAATTTTAACCATTTTTCTGATCTAAAAAAGTTTAATTTTTTTTTTTTTTTTTTTAAATGCAGTTAAAACTAAATGCTCCTCATGGCAAAAAAGAAAAAAAATTAAATTTTGTGGGTTATCAAATAATAAATGAAGGACAATGTATACCAATAAAAATGCTTGCAAAGAGAAAAAAATGTTAGGAGAGGGGCATTTTTTTTGTGGGGGTATCTGCTAAGAAGTCAATCTAGTTTAAAATTTCTTTTTGATTTCACAGCAACGAGCCATCAAAGCAGAATCTTTGGTTTCCAAATTAAAACAAGAAGTAAAATTATTGCAGGTTTGTAGTTTCTTTGTTTTGCTTTTTTAAAAATTTTTTCTCTCTCTCTCTTCTCAAATTAAAATGGGATTGTTTGACCCTCCATCCCTACTTTAGTGTGTGTGTGTTCAAACACTGGTTCTTATATGTTCACTGAAGTTAAGCAACATTGAGCCTGGGCAGTACCTAGAATACTTGTAAATATCAGGTTCTGTAAGCTTGGATGTGCAGGGGGGGGGGTGCATAACGAATAACTGCTCAGAATTGTTAATCAAAGACCTGAGTTCTAATTGGTCTCGTTATGTTCACTTACATGCAAATACTATTAGAAAAAGTATGAATCCACCTGTTCTCCCCACCGGCTATGGGTTAATTAGTAAGACTTGTATTACTAAACCATTATCTCAAAAAAAAAATCTTACAATCTAAAGTTGTATTGACATCCAAGGAAACGACAGAGCCGATATAGGCAGTAAAGAACTCACTGGAACTAAGCCAATCAAACAGCAAAATACCATACGCAGACTATAAATAAGCCATCAACAAATATATAGAAAAAGGTGGGTTAGAGGTTTGGGACTCTTGTTCAAACAATATATTACATAAAACAAAAACAACCATAGGAAAAGTGGCAGAGCTACACACGTCTATCACTCGCTCATACCTACTAAAGGGAGAGGAAGCCCCAATGTGGATGCCATGCCAGAAACAATACACAGTAAGTCATATATTGACAACATGTAAGAACCTGAAAGTAGCCCGAATCAAATATTACCAAACAAATAACCTGAAAGAACTCTTTACCAGGGTCAATCTGGATAACATTTTTAAATTCTTAAAAGAAACATGCCGATTTGCCAAAATCTGAAGAAAAATCTTTTAACAAGTTTATAAATACAAAAACTAAATACTTCTTTTGACATGACTATAATGTTAAAAAATAAACTTAATTTCACTACGAAATAATAATAAACAATTATAAAATCCCTACCCAACTTGGTTTGGCTTTATATGATTCACATAAGATATGACATTAAACAAAACAAATACAATCTAAAAATATTTTCTGGCTTTAAATAAGCCATAAAAAAGAAATTGGTCAATCAAGTGTGTGTGCGCGCGCATATATTTAACATTATTTATTGTTAATATTTTTAACATTTTGAAAAAAAGAGTCTTTTTTGTTTCTGTGCATAAATTCGATTTCTCTTTTTATCTTTTATTAATCAATTAATAACAGTGATTTTCTTGTCCTTTTATAATCTTTTCCTTGACAATAGAAGCAGATGTATTTGTTTATGAAGACCACAAGATGCTATTTCCCTTCACCTCCTCCTCCTCACATCAGCTTCTATCAATAAAGATTTGCTCTAGACATTTTCATCTCCAGCACAAAAATGAAATAATGTTTACAGTTGCATGACATTTATCTCTCTCTCTTTCTCTCTCTTTATATTTCAATAGAAACAATTGCAAGTAATCCAGAGTGAGAATGAGGTGTTGCGATCTGGGGATGTCGGAATGATGCACCTCAGGCAACAGACATTGTCTGCATCTGAACAACTTTCTGTAGCTGCCACATCTGCTGAGCAATCATTGAGGTATGTTCTTTAAGCAATCATTTTCTTTTTTTTTCTTTTTTTTTCATTTTCTTTCATTTTTTTTTATTTCATAATTTTTTTCATTTTCTTTTCATCATTCTCTTTTTTTTTTTTTTCTCCCATCATCGTTTCCTTCATTTTCTTTTTCTTTTTCTTTATGCCACAACTGTTTCCTTTTCTGTATAGAAAATTGCGTAACGTTGTCAACATACAAAAGGGAAATCTGAAAGTGGTAATCTATTCTATAAATATGAAATACAATATAATCTTCTGTGTCATGCCAAAAAAATTTTATTGTCAGACTCCATGTTTGACATTTATATTTCATCTGTGCATTGAATACCGTTGTCATATTTGGTCTGGGGCTCCTGTATATCTTGAGATTCTTGACAAAATCCAGAGAATGATCTGTAATGCCATCGATCCTCACATGACATGGCTTCACTCAGTCTGTCCCACAAATATTTTCATTGCAACTGCTCTGATGAGTTTTTTTTTCCCTGGTGCCTCAACTAAATGAATTTAAGCATGCTACTAGATTGGCAATTAGGTCTCACCCTTTTACTGCTGAAATTGCTAAATGCAAACGTCACTTCTACTCCAACAGTTTCTTTTCTCAAACTTCTCACCTGTGGAAAATCTCTTCCAAATTTCTTGTTTCCCTGGTTACTACCATCTTCAAAAATTTAAATACATTATTAATTGCCATCTGCTGCCTTAAACTCTGTTCCATTTTTGTCCTTTCCTCAATCCTCCTCCTTTCATTCTCTTTCACTTCACCGAAGTTAAGCAGCGTAGAGCCAGGTCAGTACTTAGATGGGGGACCGCTTGGGAACACCTGGTACTGTAAGCCCCCAAAGTCCAACCCTTACCTCACAGTCTGTGTGTGTGTGTGTGTGTGTGTGTGTGTGTGTGGGGGGGGGTAAACGGTAGTGTCAGAGCTATGCCGCCCAGAACTTCGTTCCTGGTAGGGCCACCCAAGGCGGACAGGTCTGACACACACGCCGGCTAACAAGGGCTCTGGTGAAAATCCAAGGAGCGTCTGCATCGGTAACCAGCGGCTTCTGGTCGTTCCTGTCTCTGCGTCTGTGGGAACCCCGCGGCAAGCAAGTACGTTATCCGAGTAGGCCTGGGTACCCTACTTCTGTAATTTATCCCAAAAATCTTCTTCTCATAACAGGAAGAAGCCGGCTCAATCCGCCCAGGGTGAATGCCGCATCAGTACAGTACAGTAGTAAACCTCTGTATTCTAGTGACATTGTCACCTCACTTGCAGTGAAACAATTAAAAAATAATAATATTGCTCACACAATCTAATCACCCTTTCTTGGTAATGGGATGTTCTTTTAATAACCAAAGGCAATACTTGACACCAATAAACATGTTACCATTACAATGGAATGTCTCATTAGTAAGTAGGGAAAGTCAGGTTGTTAATGATTTTCTCAATTGTCAGGTGGACTTGAGGGCAGAAGAAACAGAATTTGATTCTCCTTCACCCCCCCAATCCTTTCAGTGGGCTTTCAGATAGCTTGGCGGTGTCCATCTCCTTTCCGAGCTCTTAACCAATAGCCAAAAACCACGGAATATGGTGTGGGTCACTCTCAGCCCGTACACTAGACTTTCGGGTTTTGAATTCAGTGTTGTCCGTCTCCTAGACAAATTGACATTCAAGGCTATAGGACCCAATCTGTCATGATATTTTACCCATAGCTGGGGGGAGAAGAGTTGGATTCATACTTTTCCCAACAGTATTTGCATACAAGTGAATGTGATGAACTCGGCTCTCCGATTCCTTAATCTGAGCTGCTATCCACCGTACCTCTCCATTTCTTTTTATTTCTCTTGTCTCATGTCAGCGTTCTTTGAATAATATTGACTTAAAAAGTGGAATTGCTTAACTTCAGCAATAAAATTGTCAAAATAAAAATCCTAGATCACACATTATAAATTAATACAAAATATAAAGTTTGTAACTTAGCTGCTCAATTGTGCTTATCCACTGATGAGTGGATAGAGTGATTGCTAGAGTCCATCTACAAAACTCAGCATCCCAAATTCTATCAGCTAAGTGACAAACTTTATATTTGGATTAAATCTATTAATGCTCTATCTCTGATATCAAGGACTGCTTACTTTAAATGTCTATTTTCTCTCAGTAGCCCACTGTTGTGTTTTTTCATTGCTATATATATATATATATATATATATATATAAAAACAAAAGCCATTGGTGGAACCAGCAGACAACTTGCCTAAATCTAAAACTCTTATTCATATACAGTCTCAAATAAAACCAACAATACTGGAGAAAAAAAGATTGCTTAGACTGAGAAAAAAATGCTTACCAATATTAAATCCTACAAAAGGATGACTCTAGTTGTAGCTCAATTTTCACATGATCTTCAGACAACACACATATAAGAATGGGTAGGATAAAAAATGTACATACATGCACAAATACTTGCCCGTACGTAAGTATATTTAATCTTAAGGTGTTATAAAATACAGTGCTTAATGTTATGAGACAGAGCTATAAGTATATATTAGTGAATATACATAATATCCAATGTCGATAACACTACTTGGAGTTTCATGCAGGTTATACAATCTTCAGGTGTGAATTCTGACCATTATCTGTCACATTCACATGATGGTGATTCAAAATTTGGTGTACAAACTTATCTATTTAAAAATATAGAAGTTCGAAAGACAGAGAATTAAAAATAAATTTGGATTTGAAAGTAAACAATATAATCTTTGGATATTTTTAATTTTAATGATTTAAAGAAAAAAAAAAATTTCTTACCTGCAACAATAACGTTTATTTGTATTAAGAATCCTCAATTACATATGTAAAAAAAAAAAAAAAAAAGAAATTGTAAAATTACTTGAATACGGCCATGATTTCTTCACAATACAGTTTAACTCGTATAAATGTAATGTTTTAAGTATCAACAGCAGATATTTACATGGGGTGTGGCAGAAATACTTCCCACATAATGGTAAGACATTAATAACAATTGCATGTTCATCTAGCTAATGTCTTACCATTATGTAGGAGGTATTTCTGCCACACCTATATTAATAATTCAAAGAAATTAATGTATCTTATTAAAGAAAGAATTTCAGACAGTTCCAATATATAATTGTGAAATACTATGTTTTAGTAAAAAATAAGCCACCATTATATTGTGGATACTACCACTTTTGATATGAGTGTGCGTACATTTGTTATATAAATATTTATGGACCCCTGGAACATTTATTCTGCAAACAATATTGGCAGGCTCAATATAAGCTCAGGTAAAATATTGTAAAGGAATTACATGTATACACAATTGTAATAAAAGGGGAAAAAAAAAAAACATTAAAACTAGCTATAAGAATGTGATTATGTATGCGAGAGTTTAAAAGTCAACAGAGGATCTGGGCAGTCTTCCTTAACTATGCTTGCTGTTTTATAGGCTTAGAGCGCCCCCTAACAGGTATTTTGGCAAATCCAAGTGGGATAATCCGCAAAGTCTTTCTTTATTTCTTGCTAGATTGTTTTTAATTGGACAGTGTGATTTGAATCACATGAACTTTAAACTTTCTCTTTACAAAAATTTTGGTTATCGTCCCAAAGTCCTTCAATTACTCAGTCAATTAAGTGCCATACATGATACATGCTTTGACGATCATATCTGTTTCGATTCATGACTGATGAGCCAAAAGATTTTCCCACAATAGGTTGCCATTTCTTAGAACAATCTGCCCTTGTAGATTAAATAAAGGGTTTAGTTTGAAATTCCTTGAAGGTTAGTTACCCAGATCAACAGACACCTGAAGAAGGCTGAGGGGAAACAATATCCAAAATATTGTAATAGTACCAATTAGTCCAAATGTAAATACTGATAAATTAGTGTCAAATTGATTGTTTGACATAGAATTTAATCTTTTACAAAAAAAAAAATTTCAAAAATTTCTTTTTTCTTGTTTTGTTTGCTGCAGGCAACTACTTGGCGGTGTTGACACTTTACGGATCCTCTCAGCCGTCCTTGCCTCTACTGACAAGATCACAGAAGAAGGCCGTGATAACCAGAAAGGTGACACCTGAGAAAATGATGGTCTCCGGGAATAATAAGCTATAATAATCCCCCTCCTGCCTGATAACCAATTCCTTCCTCTGCCTTTGCCCACACAGAATGGAATGGAAGAGATGAGGTGGGGGGGACTGCAAATATTGTGATCCAAGGGCTGTGAGGATTGTCGTCTGTAAAAAGCATTTTTTTGTCCCCCTCCCACCTCTGCTTAACAAAGGCAAAAACACAAACTTATTTCAGTTTTATTCCATCCTCATGAAACAATTTTTGATTTCCATTTTTTTTTTTCATACCAAATTTTCTGTTGAGTTATACAATTATTTTCTTTTCATGATCAAAAAAAGAATAAAAAAAATTCCTACAAATCTTGTGAAAAATGTTTTTCTTCCATGAATTTCAAATTGCTTCTTGATATTTTTTCGTTCAGTAGAAACCCCCCCCCCTGCATTTTAGTGGTTTTGTTGCCTTGCTCAGTGTAAAAAAATTTTTTTTTAATCAACTTGAAATAACAAAAATCTTATCCCACCACTGTAAGTGATTCAGATGAATAAATGCTGGCATATATCCTGCTATGGCAACAGAAGATGACCATGACTGAAATTAAGTAGTGGAGCCTTGAAAAACAATGCAGTGACAAGAAAAATACTGAATAACACAGTGTTAAAAAGTGAAAGAAATAAAAAAATAAAATATATTAAAAAATATTTTATTAAATCATATTTTTTTTGTTTGACTTCCAAATGAGATGACCTTTGATAACTTTAGGAACAATTCCTGACCAAATGGAAGGTTTTTTGCGAATGTCATTTTCTGTACATTTTGCTGCACACTGATTAATCACTTGCCGAATGGAGAAATGAGAAACCTGCAAGAAAAATAATTGAACAATTTAATCAACAAAACTTAATGAGACTCTCTTAAATTTATTTGTTCACTCACATTTTGTGGAAGTAAAATAAAGGAGGGGCATAATTATGACTGAAATATGCTTGTCAGTGGTTTAAACAATTTTTTTTTTTTTTTAAAGTAATTTCATAATCTTTAATATATTGGTGCCAATCTGAGTAGGAATTGCTGCAAAACACTTGCCCCACCCCAATTTATAGGCAGAAGCACACATAGATGAAACCGAGAACTGGCCTGCATTCACTTTTCCAAAATCGCTTGTGTGTTGACCCCAATTCTTACTTTGCAAACTTTTTCGCTATATTGCTATTAATCTGCTTGTTTTATCTTCTCTTTTACCCTGTTCTTTTCTTTTTATTACTTATGAACTTTTGGCAAATCAGTTTGTTGGTCAGTTGTCATTTATTTACATTTAACCATGGTCACTCACTCTACATTATATTAACTTGTTAATTTTATTTAATTGTTAGACATATTTCCGTCATCTGCAGTTAAAATACTGTTACCTGCATAGCCAGTCCTAAGGTGCAGTTGGGAGATTCTTCACTTGAGTGCACTCGAAATATTACATGACCTATTAAGAAAAAAAAAAAGTCTATTAAATAAATGATGATTTTGATTTTTTTTGGTTTTACATTCATAGACTTGACTCAGATAAAGTGATAATTATTAATATACTTCTCTCCACACATGCACTTGCTCCTCATGTAAAGAGTTCAATTTTTAAAAGGTCTGTGACATGTGATAGAATATAACTAAACAATATTCTGAACTTTTTTGATGTGGCTATTGATTGTTATTTTTTTTTTTTATTTAAAGAGAAACACCACCTGATGAAAGCTGAAGGATTAGTTGAAATGTTATTTAAGATCAAGAACGAACATATTATATATATATATATATATAAAAAGACGAAAGTAAAATTTTAACTTAGCAATGCGTTTCATCCTCTGAGGCAAATGCAAGGATTTTATTTTGTATCTCAGTGGACAAAACATGTCAGCAAATACGTCTTTATTCACATTGCCATCCTTTTACAGATATACTCTATCTGAAACTTTTTACACACATGTATATTATTTTAAATAATTTTTTTCTTTTATATTAAAATGTGTTTATATACAGGCACACACAAGAAAAACCTTATTTATATATATAAAAAGGAAAATTGCAACAAGAAAAAAGTAATTGGATTCAAACCTGTTCCTTTGTTAATTAGTGCTTTACTAAAGAAAATCTACCAAAAAAGAAAAATTGAAAAAAAACCCTAAGAATTATGAAAAAGTAACACTTACCCGCAACTGTTTTGGCTCTGATTATCCATTGCAACAAAGAATAAACAGGGACTGAATTGACAAATTCTCTTAATGTAGAGAGACAGGATTGTAAAGCCAAGATGATCAATTGTAACTGGAAGAGAGAGAGGGAGACATACCATAAAATAATTATGCTTGTTTCTCCCTTCATTAGTTCACCCAACACACTGCCAAATAAAAAAAATGGACTATTCCATTTTGATTGCATGAGAAGACAAAAGGCATATTCAAGGATGCCATTTGGTTTCAGTGAGAAAATAAAAAGGAAGAAAAGATACAAGTGTTTCAGTGAAATGGAAAAAGTTATCAATTTCAAATCTTTTCATTTGTACCCCCTTATTTCTTAAAGACCAGCATTCATATTTATGATTGTTATCGCAATATCTTGTTAAAATTGTTAAGCTCAAATATTTAACGATGCAATAGGGGAACTTCTACAGATATTTTGTCACTGAACTCGCCATAAACTTACTTGATCATTAACATTTAGCACACTGCATCATTTATAAATATTACTTCCTGTAGATGGAATCCCCTCAAAATACAGTGTTTTATATACTAGTTCTACACATTTGAAATTGCAGTAGCCTGGCTTTCAATTTCAGTCAAGATTGTTTTAGGTGTTGCCATAGAAGGATATAGCTACACAAACAAGAAATTCAAAATTTAACATAAGCAGGACTAACATTTTGTTTGGTGAAAATAGTCACCTACAGAGTACTAAAGGTTAACTGAAGAATTAAGATTCATCAGAATATTCAAATAGGAAAACTGAAATTTTCACAGGTTAAAACTACAGAGTGATTGAAAAGTAACTCCCTATTTTATGTATGATGGACTCTCCTGTTTAACTATAATTTTTACAAAACAGGGGAGTCCATCATACATAAAATAGGGAGTTACTTTTCAATCACCCTGTAGTATATACAGAATCTCTTATTTTGATTGTTTATATGAAACAATATGTGACGAAAACGAAATGAATGCATCCCAGAATGAAAAAACTTACAGCTGTGAAGAGGGTGTAGTAGACCATTGTTGTGGGCAACAAAAAGAGGAAGATGGTGAAAAAGAGCGTCCCTATAAACAATCGGTCAATGTCGTAAGAAGCTGTGTCCACTCGCTGTCGAAGCATGTTCCATTTCTTCCCACGGAAAAGACGCCACAACGAAGACAGTGCATAAACTTGGAAATAGTACAAACTGCACAGAAAGAAAGAAAATGTTTTAAGAGTTTTTCATTGACAAAAACATTAGTTCAAGTGCAATCCTCAAAGACTAGCAGAAACAGGAAAAAGCAGACAGAAAAGCAGAGATTTCCATTCATCTAATTTATTTGTTTTAAATCCTCCTCATCCTTCTATGTGCCAGAAAAAAAAATATTCTGAAAAACATTTTTTTTCATAATTATTATATATTTAATTTTACTTTGAGAAATTAATTTATGCATTTATATATTTTAAATAATAGAAGGTTTTGAATTTAAGTTTTCTTTTAATTTAAAATTTTTTTTATAATTTTTGTATGTTGGCTTGGGAATAGAGTAATTCTTTTAGGAAAGGAAATGTTTGAAAAAATCTGGGGTGCAGATTTATATTTTGGTAAGTTTTGATATCAGCACTCTCAAGAATTTTTCAACTAAGTTACTTTCTCTTTTAATAAGCCTGGCATTCAAAGTTGTGGTTGAATTTATTTCTGTGATTAATGTGTTTGATAAATTGTTATGCATAACATCCTTTTTGTGTTCATAGATATATGTATAAGTATACAAGTACATATAAGTACAGAATCGTATAAATTGAACATGATAATGAAAATTTTTAACCAAAATTCAGCTAATAATCTATGAAAGGCTATGGACTTATTGATCCATCTCCATACATAATCCAATTAGAAAATTTGAATACTTTGTGAAAAAAAAGGTAATAAATAATAAAAAAATCAAATCAAAAAGGAAATAAATAATAAAAAAATAAATAAAAAATAAAATAAAAAAGGAAATAAATAAATTAAAAAAAGAAAATAAAAATACTTACCGTGACGCAAATACATAGAAACAGTATATGTGTAAAGTCAATAATGAGATGATGTCCTGGAGGAGACTCAGTTGCAAGGTGAAGCCAAGAATTCCAGACATCAGACAACAAGTGAGAAACAAACTCAGAATTGGTTCCAATACAACAGACAAATAAGCTGCAAAACAAACAGGAATTAATATTAAATCTTTGGAAGAAAATTGTAAAGAAACTGTGGACAATTACACAATTTAGTCTGAAATTTTAATCCATTCATTATTTCTCTGCTGAACACTAATTTCTTATTATATAATACCTCATCTTGGATGTTATAGTTGCAATGTTTTATCCATTGTATTCTCCGGCCATCCCCAGGTACCAGTTATATTTGGAAATGTATGAAGATAGATCTCTCTCTGCCAACCCTGTTTTTTTTTTTCTTTCATTAATTGTCATTTTCATTTGTGGTGAACAAAGGGCAAAGTTCAAAAGGGCTTGAAACCCCAATGACATCACTGAACACAACAGGACCCTAAAAAAGAAGGATACAGGGCCCAATGTTCAAAATGTGATTATAACAATCAAAATGAGGATACCAGTGCTACACCAGGGATGGCTCTCATGGCTTCCGATTTTAATTGATTGGAGCTGCTAATCTATACATGTTTACATATACTACAGTAAATATCCCGTGCAGTAAATAGATTTGCTTGTCATATTCCTAACCTTAACTGGTACAGCATGTCTCTCTCGAGGTTTACACATCGTGCATTTCAGTTCATGAGCAGGAAGAGTGGGCCAGCATCACAATTGGCTGCTGGGATGGGCGTTCTTTTTTAAAGTTTTCAAGATTCTCAACAAAATTTCAAAGAATGGTCTGTAATTTAATCCGTCCTAATCTGATATCTCAACTTGAGTTATTTTCCCACTGTTGTGACATGGCTTCCCCTCTGTCTTTCCTATAAATATTTTCATGGCAATTTTTCTAATGAGCTCCCCTCCTTGGCATCTAAAGTGCGTGAATTTAAGCGTACTCAGTCTTACATTTTACAGTTGAAATAGCTAGATGTGTTTTATTCTAATAGTTTCTTTTCTTGCACTTCTCACCTGTGGAATTCTTTCCTGTTTCTTGTTTCCCCCTCACACCTACAACTTTTAAAATTATATACTCTGACTATAACAAGGACAGAGAAGCTGAAATATGCTAAGCACCCTGAAAAGGTACAGATTTTAACAATTGCACCCAAATCTTGTTCAAAAGAAAAAATTGCTAAATATTTTGAAGTCTCCAAATAGTTCAAAAAGCTTATGCATTAAGAAATGAACAGGGCATCTTGGCTTTACCTTCAGCAAAATTAGGTAATATCCAACCGGTGGAGACTATTATCATGGTGAAAAACTTTTATGAAGATCATCAGTTTTCATGACTTATGCCAGGCAAGAAAGACTATGTCAGTATTTTGAGGAATGCTCATAAGCAAAAAAAGATTAATACAGTGTAACCCGGATATAAGAGAAACCCGGATATAAGAGAAACCCGGATATATAAGAGATTTTCTCTGGTCCCAAATTAGAGCCTGTGTTAATGTATATAAAATAGACCAAACCGGATATAAGAGAAACCGGATATAAAAGACTTCTTCTCCGGTCCCGGCAACTCTCTTATATCCGGGTTACACTGTACATTTAAATTTGGTTTGGTTTGTTTTACAGCATATCAACACCTCAATGGGTCATTTAATGCTGACAACTTTCTTTTTTTTTTTTTTCCTGGTAATATTTTTGTTTTGTCAAAAATCTATTTCCGTTAATATTTTTTTTCTTCAAAAATGTATAGCTGGTAATATTATTTTTCCAAAAACTTATAGCTGGTAATATTATTTTTTCAAAAGCGTATAGCCGGCAACACTATTCTTTCAAAAACGTACTGCTGGCAACATTATTTTTTCCAAAACATATTATCAGAGGCCTTGCTGTTGGATGTAGTTTATCGTCTTACCCAGGACGCAGATATAGTTTATTGTCATACCCAGGATGTGGATGTAGTCTGGGTGTTAACTATTTGCCCATAGCTGGGACCCTAACAGGTGCTACCACCCCGGGTCAGGGTGGACCTGGGAACACCAGCAATTAAGAGGTGGTTTCACACTCCTCAAAACCTCCTGATCAGAGGCCTTGCTGTTGGACGTATTTTATCGTTATACCCAGGATGCGGATGTAGTTTATCATCATACCCAGGACACCATTTAAATTTGAAAGAACTCGATAAAGAGTTCAAATTACATCATCCTTATCACCAAATTTGATTATTCTAGATTCTGTATTTTGCAACTAAAGTGTTGTGTTATGGTTGATGCATCTGGAACTCATGTCTATGTATGTACTTATTATCACCAAGCTACAAAGTTGATGCAATCAAGTGGGATGAGACATAAAGACTTGATTAAATTGTTTGTAGTACAGAAAATGCTGAATGTATGCAGTAATTGCCCCAGAATTGAAACCCTCACAGCCCATTTAAAATACCAATTGAAAGAGTTTGTTGATGTTTCAAACAGTGGGGATCAACAGATCGTGTAAAACTTTTCACTCATTTGATGTCCATAAAAGATTTTAAAGAGTTACTAACAACTAAAATCCATGACCTCAGTAAACATTCTTCCATTGCTAAAGCTGGAAGAGAATACCTCAACCATCCTGGGTATGATGATAAACTACATCCAACAGCAAGGCCTCTGATCAAAAAAAATTAGCAGCAATACATTTTTTGAAGAAAAAAAAAAATTATCAGCAATAAAAATTGTCAGCATTAAATAACCTATTGAGGTTGATATGTGGTAAAACAAAGCAAACCAAATTGAGTAACAGTTAAAAGAAACCCTTAAAGATACACAATGCATTATACTTGATGACTTTGAAGAAAATCACACATTTTCTGTACAAAATGAAATTCAAAGTTATCATTCAAACAAGGGGCAATGTTCCCTTCACCCAATATTCATCTACTAAAGAACTGACAAAAATGTCTTTTTGTATTTTATCACAAGATTGTGATCATGATAATTACATCACAGACTTTTGGAAGTTTTTTTGATGGATGTTCAGGCCAGTACAAAAACTATAAAACTTCTTAAATTTATGCTTCTATGAAAAAAAAATGATTTGGGTCTGAATGATGAATGGAGCTTTTGCACAACAAGTCATGGAAAATCTACATGTGATGGCATTGGTGGTACTACTAAACGACTTGATGCAAATGAAAACTTCAAGCAAACCACAAGAAATCAAATCCTGACTGTTGAGGATTTGTTTAATTTCTGTCAAGAAAAAAAAGAATGTCATCTATTTTTTTTTTTTTTGCTGTCTATTAAAGAATTAAGACACAAGAAAAAAATTGTCCTCTAAATTTGCTGATGGACACACAGTCCCTGAAATAAGGTCTTTTAACCACTTTATTCCTGGAGATGGCACTACTATAACCTAATAATCATGATCAAACCATAAAGAAATGTAATATTTCATATCAGAAAGCATCTTCATAATCAGAAACTTCTATTAAAACAATGGAGTATGTAGTATACATTTATGATAGTTTTTAATGGGTTGGTCTACTTAGGTACCTCCACAAGATCGCTAAAAAAAGAGCATAACATGATGAAAAAGATGCCAAACTTGACGAAAACAAAATTTTATCGTCTAAATGTTTATGTTATTATTAAGAGGAAAGATCAAAGTATTTTGGGGGTATTTTTTTACATTTTTTAATCGTTCCAAGCACGTCCGAAATTTTCATTAAAAATCTTTTTTTTTTTGAGTCAGCAAAATTGATCATTTTTTTCCATTTTATAAAAAAACTGGAAATCTCACTTTGAAATTCTTTTAAATATCAATTATTATTTTTTCAAAACTTATTCTAAGAAAATCATAAATTAATATTTTGAACCAAGATTAACTTAGCTTCTGCACCGAAAAAATGTAATTTGAAAATAAAACAAAGCAGGTCATAAACTTTCATGTCATTTGACAGGTGATGAATGACATATTGACGGATTCCATGAGGCTAATTTGTTCTATGGAAGAAGAAAAGTGAAATAATTTACATTTAAGTGAACAAATTATTTACCTTGTTATTTTTAAGGAAAACTTTCAGCGATTTAATTTTTTTTTTTGTACTTAGCTTTCACGTTTACAATGCTTTATGGAAAATATATTATAAAGAAATTAAAATAAGACTTAAGAGTGAGATTAAATTTCATATTTCATGAGAAAGATATCTAATTAATTTATAGGTACCTTTCTTATGAAATTTTATCAGAAGTGTACATAAAATACTATAATTTTATGTACATTTATTACATTTTACTGTGTTATTTGTATTTCCATTCATTTTATTATTAATTTTGATATTTCATTTATGGAGAAATGTCATAACTGAGATTAAATATAAAAATAAGATCATATAAATTTCATAAGATCATACTGATACTTGTAGGTACCCTTCTCAGTTAAAATTCAAAATTTATTTTGCCAATTTTATAATTTGATGTTACATTGAAGATACAAAGTCTATACTGTTGCAATTAGTGACTACCAATAAATAGCTACAGCAAAAAAAAAGTACTTTTTATTTTTTTTATTGCAAATGATTTATCTTGCACTCTGCGTAAAAAATAATAATAATTATAAATTAAGATCATTGTTTCTCCTCCTTTCTCTATAAGCTTTTAAAATTTTGATGATCAGGGAAATGTTCATGTAATATGGGAAATTTTGACTTTGGTTTAGAGTTAGGCTAAATTTTCATTGTTTTTTATTTATTTTTTTATTTTTGAAATGCGTATTCAAACACCCATAAAAATTGAAATAAAAAGAGAGAACTGCTAAAACTTAGGAAATACATTCCCCAAATACTATGTAATGTATGTTTTGTTACCTATGGACTTTATTGGTAATTGGTAGCTTTGAAAGACAGTTAATGAAACTTATTGGGATTTATTCCCCATTTACTCTGGTTTTCAAATGTTTTTGCTACTATTAGGGGCTGAAGATGATAATTCTCTATTTTTCCCCATGTGGTCGGTTGCCTAAAAACTTACATTTTTTTTCATCAGAAAACTGCTACTTTTTGGTTACTCCCTGTGAAATTCTAAAGGGATATTTGGATCCATTGACTAAAAATCTATAAGGGTATCAAATTTCATTAATTTCTGGCCAGTGGATCAGATGATATAAAAGTTCTTGTGGGATCATTGAATTTGGAAATAGAAATGTCTGGTGACGGAAAATGATGTTTCAACAAAAGTACAACTAGCGATATTTGGAAAATGGTTAGGAATTTTCACTTAAAATTCTCAGGACTTTCTAATGACTATACGTTCTACAATATATATCAAAATGAAAAAAAAATCTACTTTTTTTGGTTGCATTTTTCCATTTTTTTTGGCTGATTTGACATGGAAAAAACATCTGAGTGAACAGGGTTACCCACCCTAAAGTTATTTCTAACTGGGCCCCACCTGTGTGGTGTAATGTATACAGACTTGGAATTGAAAATTGGAGAGCTGAGTTCCAATTTCAGCTGGGTTATTTATTTTCACTTATGTGCAGATACATTCTTCTGCTCCCAACTATGGGTTAATTAGTAAGACTTGTATCATTAAATCATTATCATCTCAAAAAAATTATTACAATCTTAAAAAAAAAATAAATTTTCTGGCTTTAAATAAACTGCAAAAGGTTGATAAGCTGTAAAATACAAATAAAAAAAACAAACTTTGTTGCCATGCTGCTCTGAATAATAGAAAGATATGGGAGAATTTCATGGTTTTCCTATTTTAAATTTCTGATGAATCTTAAGTCAATGACTGCATGAGCTCATGGCAAGTTCTATGACAATAAAATATCGATAGAAATTCCTCTATTACATTATTTGAGCTGAAGAAATTTAACAAAATATTGCAATAACAACCATAAATATGACTGCTGGTCATTATTTTAAGAAGTAAGGGGGTACAAATGAAAATTTTTGAAATTGATAACTTTTTCCATTTCACTGAAACAGACGTTAAACACTCGTATCTTCCGTCCTTTCATTCATTTTCTCACTGAAACCAACTAGTTTCTTTTCCCCTCTTTCCACATGATCAAAACAGAATAGTCCATTATTTATGAGGTATTGGCAGGGCGTAATGGTCGTGCAAACCAACTAAGGGAGGGACAAACACAATTCAGATTTTGCTTTTTTTTTTAACGTCATATTTTGGTCCAGCTATTCCCTCTTTGGGGGGGGGGCAGGAGATTTGAGCATTATTTGATGACAATGACGTCTGAATAAGAAAAGTGAAGTTATAATGAATTAAACAGGAAAAGCTATTACTCACTTGTCCAGACATAAATGTTATATTTGAAAAATGACCCTAAGAAGAGGTTCAGTTGGTAGTTGAGTTTCAGACCAGCTGGAGCACCCATAATCCAGTTCAGTATTCCTGATAAACTTGTCACAGTGCTCTGTCAAAAGCCAAAAGAGAGTTTAATCAAAAGTAAGAAAACAAAAGAAAAAAACCCCACAATCAGCAATGTTGAAGTGTTGCATCAATTATTCATTTCCAAAATAAATATAATAGTTTTTAAATTAAAAATGTATCCTAACTAGTGTAGCAATATCAGTCAGATGAGGTCTTTTTAAATTGAAAACAGCCTGACCTGTCGCAAAAATAGATTTGGAATATTTATTTTCAACTGATGGTTGTAAGTATTGTGAAGTGAGCTTCAGCGAGCAGCCTAGACAAAGAGAAGTTGCTGAATGAAAATAAATTGCTTTTTTTAGACAAAGACAACAGGACAAAGAACCATGCTAGCTATAAAACTGACCAGTACCCCGAAAAGACACAGAAAGAGACAAAACGGGCATTGGAGAACAGACAGGGAAGATACCCGTTAGACTGTTCACCTCTCTCCTCACTTACACCTTCTCTCATTTATAGCAAGAGGTCACAACACAAGAATAAAATCTGGTTTACTGCTAGAAATTGTTTTGTTTTTCACTTGTGGGTAATGAACTGACTGAAGGATAATTTTTAAGCTACAAGCATTTAACTGGAAAAAGCTGCACCCTGTCAACAAACCTGGTGTCTGGTCTAAGCTACAACACAACGCTAGTTGACCCAAAATAATATTCTATCATATCTGGGATGATGGGATGCCGTTAATCTTGAATCCTCTCATGAGTTGAGTTCAGAAGACCTTTGTCTGCATGTACAAGAAACTTGTTTGGTTTTTTGGATGTCGAAGTCAAGTTACACATTATTAAGATTTTGCGACTATTTCCATGTTTAATTCAATAATATATTTTCATAAATATATATATTTTTATCACTTTAAATGTTATTTTTAGTGGATACTTTTATTTGAGTAAGCACTCTATTTATATATTAAACGGTATATTTATTTATTTTCACCTACTGGCCTGCATTCCTGAACAATTTTAACCCTTCTGCCTGAGCTCCTGAGTCAAAATTTGCAAATAATTGGTATGTAATGTTTCATGGTAGATATAAAAATTTTTCCAACAGTGAATTTAGCATTGATCTGACTGTGTAGATGGCATCAACTTTGTCAGTTGTAGCATCAGTTTCATCTATAACATGAAGAGAAGCCCAGATGGAAAGAAATATGTCTCTTGACATTACTTTGCAAAAACCCAATAGCAAAACATGACACAAGTATTTACCCACTGTTCAACCGGTGACTGGACATTATGTCATTTCTTTTCTGCCACCATTAAAGCAGTGGTCAGGGCTGAAAGGGTTAAAGAAAAATTTGTGCTCTTCAACAGGAATTTAATCTGCATCCCTCGGGATAGAGAGAGCCAGCATTTAGCCCAGTGTGCCTATACTGCTTTGGCCATGAAGAGACAGACAGTCAGGTAAAGCCAAATTTCATTTCAAGCAGAATTTTTCTTGTCAAGTTTTTCATATCAGCACGCAGTTTCATATCCAAATGTAAACAAAGAAAATTTATTAGAATATGTATTTGCTATTTCGTATGGTAATATTAGCCATTTCCCTACAAGGAAACGTTCAGCATTCATTAACCAAGCAGCCAGTATTGCTTTCAGTTTAAATTTATAAAATCTATCAAATCCAGTAGCTTTTATTGCTCTTTCCAGTATTGATGGGGGTTTCCTTCTTAATTTTTTATTTGCAGTGGTGTGGAAAATTAACATCTTGATTATGTCATTATTTCTGATCAAGTTACATGTGCTATCCATTTTAGGTGTTACTGCTGTTGGTAGTCTTTGAGTGATGTGGTTTTGGTTATTTTTTATAGTTCTTTGTGATTCTGTAGTACCAAATATATTTGGTATTTTTATGACTATATATGTTGTAGCATACCTACGGACGATAATGGGTATGTTCCCATTCCCATAAATACAGGAGTAAATACTGTATGTGTGTCTACAGTTGAAGATTCATTCTCCAGTTGTGCTGGTCAAACTCCCTGCCTCCAAGCAAAGAGGATCCCCAGATGAGGCTATGTCAAAGGGCAGAGTCTTATTTCAGGAAACAGCTACCCAATCCCGTTTTATAAGGTGTCTACAGGGAATTTTTGGTTGGGCCTATGGGCTTCGATACTCCACATTAAATTTGGCCTTGTGCCACATCTGACCACATATGGTGGTTGGCAGATATCCTACAGTTAGAGATTCATTGTGGAATTCACTTGACTCACTTCTAGCAGCTGACTACTTCTATATGCCGCTGGTGAATCTTATATGTGTTGTTCTTGTCCTAAGTATTAACATTCATTACCAACCTTTGCGTGATTATTTTATTCAGTAACCTTCCCTAGATTACAACAATATAAATCTATATAAACAATATATTTATATAACTATACTTAAGTATTTTCTTAGGGGTACAAAATTATATTACAGCAATTAAAATACATTTTTTATTGAAGGAAAAAAAAAAGAAGAAAAATGTCATAATTACAATAAATGACAAAGAATGATAAAGAAAGAAAAAAAGTCGACTGTTTTTTTTTCCTGACTATTGAAGGCTGAATCAGGGATTAAAAAAAAGTTTTGACTTTTGATAGCTAAAATATATATATTTTTTGACTCTTGATAGCTAAAAAATATATATTTTTTGACTTTTGATAGCTAATATATATATATTTTTTGACTCTTGATAGCTAAAATATATATATTTTTTGACTCTTGATAGCTAAAATATATATATTTTTTGACTTTTGATAGCTAAAATATATATATATTTTATCCCTATATAAATCTACTTACACTGTCTATACATATCTATATAATAAACGTGAATGTCAGTGTGTCACACTTTTCAACTTTACTCCTAGAGGCTATGGCCCAACATATCATACCATTTTGGAATCAGGCTGACTCTGTGAGCAAATTAAAAACATTCTGGGCTGGATCCAGACTTGCAATCCTGAAATTTTACATTTCCAAGTTTTCATTTCAGCAATTTTTTTTACCTGATTTTGTGATGCATTTTTTTGTAACGTAACAATTTTTATAATTTGGAAATAAATTTGGGAATGAACAAAATTAATTGTGAAATCCAGCAAAAGTCGCCCATGAAATAAAAATAATTGTTTGTATGGAAAGCAAGGACCTAAATACATCAAATTAAATGGCAACAGAAGAATTACCATTGAACTTTTAAAAGGTAAGCTGAAGTATTAATGCAATACTTAAATGCTGTGATCAATTTTGAGTTGTTCTGTCGTTTATTGTTGCCTATTGCATCTATTTATCCTTACCTATTGTGATGAAGGCTCAACTGAGAGCCCTCTGCAGGAGCTAGCTTAAATGTCACCCAATAGGGAGGCTTTTAAGCTAGTAAATCTATATAAACTTAAACACTATATTTATGATTTCTAAGCCTATATAAATACTATACTTACAATTTTTATGCCTATATAAATCTATATAATTAATATATATTTATGATTTCTATTTCCACTATAAATCACTTAGTTGTTTCGAACAAGATCAGTGTTCATTGTAGTTCAAGTTGAAAATCTCTAACAACACAAAAAGTTTATTAATGACTGACCTGTGTTTTGCTGAGGATCAGAGAAGCAATTTCTTCTGAAGAAGCCAAATTAGAAACGAGAAACAAACAACCAACTCCAAGAATTGAGTCTGCCATCTGACGACAACCAAGATTAAAATAACTGAAACAACAAAAAAAAAACAGACAAATGACTTCAACAAAGTTTTAATACAATGCTGCTTCTATTCATTGCATATACATACATTATCAACCACTTCTTCGTATAACAGGAAATTGATAGCCATTTTGAATATCTCAATAACCAGTTGTTTGGCTTTGATACAATTTGGCAAAATTCTAACAATTATTCTTTATACAACATCAGTCTGTTCAGTTTTTGTATTGATGAAAGAAACGACCTCACTCTGTGTTACCTCCATGACCTGGTGATGCTACATGAGTATTCTGCAGGGAAGTATGTGAATCGACATCTGGATTGAAGAGGCATATGGTGGTACACAAGGATAACCTACCACAGCAACATCTGCTTAACCCTGTGAAGACTCTGGAACAAATTTGTCATCTATGCTATAGGCCTTGCAAATCAGCTGCTGGTTTGAAGAGCCACCTTCGAAGTCATTTGAGAGGAAACAATAATCGAGATTGAATGTAGGTGTTGATGGGCAAGACAGCAGTCATCTGTGAAGACGGGCAATCAGCATATATATATATATATATATATATATATATATATATATATATATATATATATATATATATATTTTGTAATCTACAGACTGTTTCACTGTATCACAGCTCATCAGTGTGGCTAGATGTCTGGTTGCCTCTAGCTAGGATTGAAACCCGGCTGAATTGGCGTCAGTCGGAGATTCTACACCTAAGCTGTTGGCGCATGGCAGGGATGAAGGTGAATTAAAACGTATTTATTTTTAGATAAACACACAGATATATATTTAATATAAACTGTTACATTGTGTTACAAGTTACCACAACAAAAATATATATTTGTTTCAATATCAAATTTAGACATCTCATCAGGTGTCAGGTGGTTAACATATACATATATATATATATATATATATATATATATATATATATATAATGATAATAGATAAAAGAAAAAGCCAAAACTTAATATTAACTCCGAACGCACCCACAATGTGCTGTGTTCAGAAAATAAAACATTTCTATAACACTAAAAACATACACACAATGCACACACTCAATTAAATTGAAAAAATAAAAACATCCTTGATAATGGCTAAAAGTATAGATGAAAGTGCTCAGAATTATAGAACATTTCTACACACTCTGTGTCCAAAAAAGAAAACACTTGTTTGAAGACAAGAAAAATTAAATAAAACACTTAATCGTAGTACCTTGTCTGTTATTTTTAATGAAACATGAATAAATGAAGGATTGTTGCCTAATATATATATATATATATATATACATACATACATACATACATATAAAATTAATTTGGAGAAGTTTATCACTTGCTTGAGTGGTATTGCTTCAGTCATGCCTACTATGTAGTTTCATGAACACATCAAGAGAACATGTTCACACTTCAGGGCTTGTTGTCTTCTCTGCTGCTATTTCTCAATTTATGTGTGGTTTGGTGTAATTTGATATCTTTTTATAGGTGTGTGGTTTTTCACTTTATGGATGTTGGTATTACTGAAGTGGTATGGCGTTTCTTGGGGTTTGCTTTGTATTGTAGTTACTTATTTTTTACCATATTTTACTTAATTGCTTTATGTAATATTGGTTCTTTTTACTATATTGGGTTGACCTACTTTATTGTGTTGATGCGTATGTCCACTTGGGTTTTTTACATCAGGTGTTTGACCTTGAATGCATGTGCATGCGTGTCCATGTGTTTAATGTTTCCTGTTTGCAAACACTTTTTAATCTGTTTTTTATTTGGATGTGATTCAGCATATGTTGAGGGTCTCTGTTTATATTGGTACTTAAATAATAACAAGTAGATTTTTATTTGAGTGTCTGCATTTCCCCATTATTTCATTTTTCTTTTGTAATAGTTTGCTTTGGTCTTTAAAGGTAACTATTGTTAATTTCTTTTCTAGGCATAGTTTGCACTTTCTGCTATTGCTATTATGTGGTGGGATGCTTTTTTATGATTTTCATATATATATATATATATATATATATATATATATATATATATATATATATATATATATATATATATATAAACTTCAAACATTATTATAGTGGACACTTCTTACTTGAAATATTTGTCCCATTGCTATTTATTAAACAGTGTGTATTATGTCTATCGGACTGTGCATTCAAAAAAATTTTAGTAAAGAAAATGTGTCTTCCAGCAGGGATTGAACCTGCATCCTCCTTTGTAGGAGAGGAACTACCATTTGATCTGGCATGTTTTATTGCTCAGCTACAAATGACTTCACAGTAAGCATGGCTCTTTTTACCCTATTTAAGGAAAGCACATCCCCCTTCATCCAGATTATCTTTCTCAAGAGCCCATATCTAAGTTTTATATCCAAAATGAAAACAAAGCAATTTCTAAAGAATACAATCAAACATAGATTAGACACTTCTTATTTGTTATATACACCCCTTTTTTATTTATTAAACAGTGTGAATTATGTCTATCAGCCTGCATAATTAAGAAATCTTAGTAAATAAAATGTGTAATCTAAGAATACTTATACATTTGTTCCTGACCCATAAGTATATAATTATTAGCTCTGTTAATTCACATTGAGCACTTTTTTATTATTACTACCAGCACTCAAAGTGATTTATTTTATATATATATATATATATATATATATATATATATATATAAGACTTCATGTGCATGTGTGTTTTTTTTATTAATATACTAGTTTATCTGTGCCATCAAAAATAACAGAAATTGTCAGAAAGATGCAATAAAAAAAAATTCTTGAAACAATGTATTGAGATTCAATAAAGTAGAGATAAAGTATCCATAATTAAAATAGAAGCCACTGAACTGTTTAATTAATCTGTTCCCTTTATATATTTTTTAAATGTTCAGTGGTATATATAGGATTCATTGATTGCTCCTGGTATTATACAAATTTCTTTTTGCTCAATATCTTTTCATGTTAAAAATTTTATGTGTTTAATGTAACAGTGACATAGAAATATTTCTCAGAAGATAAAGATTAGCAACAGAATGACAAAGACAGCGACAACAAAACCTATTTCAAGACCAATTTGAAGCAAGATGATCACTTAATACATAACAGTATCCAAGTGCCTCACATGAAAGGCTTGAACAAATAAGACTGCAATCTAAGAAACATAAGATTGAAGAAACTGATTAATTAAACAGTTCATTTTTCTTAGGAAGTTATTTTGTCTAAATGCAGATAGACATTTTAAAAACCTATACAAATAAAATACTTAAGGGAAGTAATCATTCATAAATTTATTAACTTTACTAATAAATTTACCTCCTTTCCCACTACAAATAGGACAGGAAATATATAAGTAAATACACATTGATAATTATTATATGGCTTGATTAAACTAGTTTTGTACGAGTTCACATAGTCCCTGACACCAAGTGAGTGAACAAGTATCTCCTTAATCATCAAGCTATACCAGCTCAATTCTTCATTTATTAATCTGCAGAACTGGCAGTTATTCTTAAGAACAAGCTGTGCAGCCATGATGCAACTAGGCAACCAATCAGATACATTTATGAAGAGACACTCATCTGTGAGGTTACTCCAGTTGCAGAGTGATGACATTTTTGATGAATAATTCTTTCACCTTATTTCTGTTGCCACTTTCAGATTGCTGTTCTACAACGACTAAAAGTTCTCTTGCCAGAAACTTATTCAAGATTTCTTCGGTGCTTATGTACAAATGATTCATCTAAGAAATTTAGACATTGGATTTTTACTATTAAATAGCAACAGAAATAAAAGAAAAATTAGTAAAGAAATTTATAGCAAAAATTGACAATGCTTCATTTAACAAATTTAGACATGAGACTTTTACTATGAAACCAAAACCAATAACAGAAATAAGATGAAAGAAAAACTAGTAAAAAAATTCATAGTAAAAATTGACAATGCTTCATTTAACAAATTTAGACACTATTACATCTATGACTACTAGTGTATTCAAAACAAAAAAAAAGCATGACAGTCGAGAACAAAGAAGAAAAGAATATAGTCATTTGGCTTATCTGAGTGATGTTAATTATTGTAGCCTTTGTAGTCTAATCAGTAAGGAGCTGTCATAGCAAAACAAGTTCCTAAGGTTGAGTTTGAATCTTATCAGACATTTTGTTTATTTTTAATCTACACTACTTCAGAACTATTGTTGAATCATCACTTGAGATAAACAGCAAAACAAAAAAGATGAAAGAGAGGCTAGTTAAAAATGAATGATTGTCAATATTACATCTAAGAAATTAAAAATAATATTACTATTAATATGAGTTGGTGGAAGAAATAAAGGTATATCAGGTTTTACTTTGGCTTGACTGGGCACATGGTCTTGGTGAAAAATCAATGACTTGACTAAAACAGCTGACTAAATAAGCTTAATTGATTAAAATAAAGATGTAATCTCATCACAATATTTTGACAAGTATATCTCAGGCCTTATTGAACCATCAGATCACTATAACTGAACTTTTGTTATGACTTTATCTACCATTAATTGTTATTTGGTTGAATATAATTGGTTAATGAAGGCAGATCTAGTGCAACAACAGGCAAGGTTATCTTATTTAAATTATGATCTGTTATTCTTGGGTTTTCTTTGAATTCATTCTTTGCAACTGTGATTACCAGTACTGCATGTGCATTAACCAATTCCGGTTTTAGTCAACTGTTTTATTCAAGTTGTTGTCTTTTTCCAGGACCTTGCATAAGATGAGGAAAAAAAAAGCCTGACAGGGATTTCTTTGTTTTTTTTTTTTTAATCATTTCACCCCAAGCAAGGCAATAATGCCACTAAGACGCATTGAGTTACTGGGAGTGGAAGAAAATGAGATGTCAGTGAAGAGAAAGGAGTTCTAAAATAAATTTTTCAGATAAGGGCAAAAAAAAAAAAAAAGGTCTGATTACCTACTGTTTACAGGGACCACTGTTCCAGAGGAAGAAAACAACTTAAATAAAA